TATTCTTTGTGGACAATACAGACACAGTAACCAGATCCTCACCATGGCATAACCCTTCTATCTCCTTTGGCTTTAGTGAAGTTTGGTGAATTCATATCAAGCAAGTATTTGATGCAGCATGTTTTCAGGGCTCATCTGCATTTTCCCCAGTGAATTCCCAATATTATAAAGGACCTTGTGCACAGCTTGCTTTACACACAGAATAATGAAGATGTCATGTGATCAGATAACAAGAGAGCTGTGAGGAAAAATGAGTAATTATTACTGACTACATTTTGAACAATCTTTGCTTAAGCAAGGCAGTCATATTTTGAAAACATTTATCTTCTGCCCGGGGCATAAATGACAGTCTAATTTGACAGAGATTAAAAAAAAAAGAAAGGGGAATAGGAAATGCTCTGTGTAAGAAATGCTTCATTTCTTGCAAGATAACCAAGTTATAAATATCACAGTGAGGGTATCTAACATAGAAATAGAAAAACTTAGGACGTTCTCTAAGATAGACCCATCCCTTTCTTTGAAAGCAACACGGATTGAGAGGCACTGTGCCTCTTTCAGACTTTCATCTGACATTTTTAAGATTCAAAATTGCACAATTGAATAATGAAAACAGTCAGTGTGGGCGTAAGAACTGGTATCACGTGAAATTAATATCAACTTCCATGTAGCATTCACCACTCCTAAGAAAACAAAACCTCTTTTCTCAAATGTCCCATTTGAGCCTCACACTCACATGCCACCCTCACTACAGTCTCTCTTACACTGTATTTCTTCATTCAAATTCTTCCTGATGATCTCAGATACGCAAGCTCTCTAGGTTCACCTAGTGGACGTAGAGCAGGACAGAAAACAGTGTATCTTAATACTAATAAACTGAAGAGTGGTGGAATTGCCATCCCTGGAGGTATTTAAAAGACAAGTAGACGTGGCGCTTAGGGACGTGGTTTAGGGGTGGTTTTGGCAGTGTTAGGTTGATGGTTGCACTCGATGATCCAACCTAGACGATTCTATGATTCTATGACACACACTTGACCACTGGTCTGACAGGACCCATTCTATTTAGGTATTAGCACACTCACTTGCATGGTTTTACCCATGGGAAACTAAATAGTCCTACAGCAATAGTAAGGAGGTATACAGACTAGGAATCATTCCTAGCTGGCCCTACAACGATGCCATAATTTTGTGAGCAGAGCATGAGAAAAGCTAAGCCATGTGGATGCCAGCCATGTCATGCCACTAGTCCTCAGGACTACAAAACACACCTCATAAATTTACTAATATAGATGTAATCTTAAAAATCAGTTCTCTTGGTACTCAAGAAGAGATGGCTGACATCCAAATGAGAAAAGTCTGGAGCTTTTCATAGAGAAACAGAAACTCTGTAAGATCCTGCCAACTGCAGAAAAAGCTATTTTGTGTGCTACAGAACTTACAAATCCTTGATAGCTTCTTAGCTGTCTAAGAGCATAACTGAGCCTTCTTTTGGTGGGGGAGCAGTAACAGTGTCTGTCTGTCCCTGATCTACCTGCCTCCTTGGTGGCAATTGGTTGGCAAGTTCAGAAATTACTTGAGAGGTGGGACTGATTAGGTGATAGACAGCATGATCTCTTGAACCCTTATTTCCCATTGAATCAGACAAATATAATCACATCTGGGGTTAGTATTAGTTTAACACAGAACCAGAAACCCTAACAACATGGTTCTCTTTGGCAGGGGTTAAAGCAGTCAGGCTGATAAGCATGTGCATTTATGCCCTCAAAGGGAAAACCACAAGAGCTGGCCAAAAGCTATGATGGATCTTCAAAAGTTCCTCTCAGATTCACAGATAATAGAGATGCTCTGTCAGTGGCGAAACAGACCACAAGGAAAATGCTAGCATGTCCCGATGAAAGAGGATTTGGAAATTATTTAAAAGCAATAGTAATAGTATGGACAAGATTGCCTGTGGTGAGGCAGGGCACCTGCCTTGCCTATGTATGTCGTTAATTCTGGCTGAAGCGTGACACTGATTTACTGCTGAGTTCCTTAGGAAATGGGGAGCCAGGTAAATACTGACAGGACTATGCAAGGAGGAGACAGTTACAAGGATGTGATGACTGAAGTAGTCCAGCCAAGTCTACCTACTGGAAGTAAATTGGAGAATAGTATTCCCCTAAAAGCAGCAGATTAAGTTCTTAATACTGGGACTTCACAACAACCACTGAGGGACTGTAAAATTTAAAGCATGAAGAAACTGCACAGTAAGGAAGCTTGTTCAAGAAAGGAGGAGCAAGTATTTGTAGCAGAGATCAGCAGCTCATGAAGAAAACGAGCTGCACGTGGACTGAGTAACAGATATGGCTTTTCCTCTGAGTGGAATCTAACATATGAGGCTTTAGAATATATAGTAACGTTTAAGAGCAGTGAAGAAACTGAGATGATCTAGTAGGAAATGTAGAACTCAGAAAACATGCAAGGATGAAGCGCTGTAAAGAGTATGTCTACAGGAAAGAACACATTTAAGAGTATGTTTGTGTAGGACACAGCAAGGCATTTAGGCACGGTGTTCCCATTTTTCAGAAAATATTGCAAGGTTGCCACAAGCAAAAGAATAAAATAAAATCAGATGGAGCTCAAGAGACAGCAGGACTGACTGGCCACGCCTCATATCCATGCTTTCAAGAAATAATTGCTTCTTGCCTTTACTTTTATATAAAAAAAGTAAAAAAAGTGGTAATTTGCAGAGTATTTAAGAGTGATTACTGCATAGATGTGGGATATAGAAAACCTCTGGAGCTCCAGTAAATCACTGTGAGCCTTAGAAACCTCTTAGCCTACGCAATGGCATACCTTAGCACTGTCAGCACATTACTATTCACAGTGTTTGGCCATCAGCTTTGTTTGCTTGAGCAGCATTCTTTTTAATTTATTTCATCCTTCATCATGAAAGCTTTTGAAATCCTCAGGTGCACATATGTCCTCACACACACTTCAGTTGTGGGGCCATATTTTATAATAGTGCAATCCACTTCCAGCTTACCCTGACATAGATTTGCACCTACATACATGGCATGTTCTCAGTACGTTAACAGCAGAATTGATTGCAAGTCCCAGACTGAAAACAATCAAAACAAAACCAACACAAAACCAAAAGAGCTATGGTTGTTCAAAGAATTGTACTGTGTAGTTTGGGTTCCTCACTCCTCATCACAAACAGAACTATAGGTGAGCACAAAGGAAATGTGGCTTAATGTAGGATGTTGATCTTTTAAAATCAAATGGAAAAATGAGACTATATCCCTTCACTAACCTTTAACATTCTGAAACTGTCTAAATTCTCCCTTTTGTTCTCTTTCACATTTTATTAGTGGTCTTCAAATCTAGGGAAAGGAGGAGGTGATAAGTCACCCAGCACTAACTAAAAGTCCATACCGATACCGGCCAATGTGTTAACTCATGAAATTTATGTCTCCTTCAGTACTATAATGTCTCTACTTTGCTTGCCTGCAACATGAATAGCTATCTCCTGTTCTTGCCTCCAAAAGCGCTAATTTTCACAGCGGGTGACCGGTGAAATGGTTGCAAGGTAAAAGGCGTTTGAAAGCTGGCTTTCAAAAAGCCCTTAAAAAAAAGAAAAAGGAAGAAATTATTGGGGAGGCAAGGAAAACACAAAGGGAAAGAAACGGGAAAGAAGAAAATCAAGAAAGATATTAGACATCATAATTTTTTTCCTGTCCTTTCTTAAAAAAATGTACACAAATGCAATAGTCATGAAACAGAGACAAATAGCACTGACTAGAAATAGATACACGGACTGTAAGCACCACTACTGACCATGTCACTGAAGTCCAGAAAAGTGAAAAAGATACAGAATGTCACACTAGATCTCACACAAGTCTCCACTGGCCTTTAAGTTACAGAAGAAATTTATGGAGGGACAGAAGTGATGGCAACAAAATTAGAGATAGGAGGGAACATCAGCAAAACTAAAGAAGGATACAAAAAGAGAGAAGATGAGGGGGAAAAAAAATGAGAAAGTAGTATGTTATAAAGTGTAAGAACTTGAAAAATTTCACAGCCAAATAGGAATGGTCTTTAGATCAGTGGTGGTTAAACAATTCAGAAGGAGAAAAATCCCACACAGAAGACTACCGTGGCATAATCTGCTATGGGAAGGCTCTTCTCATCCCGAAACAGATCCGTTTAATGCACTAAGTACGGGGCATATATTCCTTTCAAAACATTCTCTTTCTAAAAGGTTAATGGTTTTCAAAATTTTATTTTCTTATTGGCTACATATATGGTTCAGATGATGTGTAAAATTGAAGCCTGCATAAACCAAAAGTTCTTAAAGATGCCACTCCAAAACCAGTGTTCCAAGCTTCTGCTTTGCAGGTTTCAGGAGGGAACTACAGCCCAGCTCAACTACATTGCCTCTAAAACAGAGTTCTAAGAGAGACACTTGTTGCAATTGAGGTATCATATTAATGTGTATGGCTAAACAGCATTTGACCTGAAAACAGCTACATGGATATTTTTATTTTCCCATTTTTAAATGGCATAGGAAAAATAGAAAGGATTAACACTTACTGTGAAATTTCAGTCATTTGTGCAAATGTTTATGAGACAGCTATACAGAAGAATTACTGCATGTGTAATTAGGGAACACATTTACAACTGCACTAACCGCACTCCTCATCAGCATCTTACTTCTCTCAAATGCATCGTTCTATTCAACACATAAGACCATGAAACTAAGACACAGAGAAGTTATGTGACTTTCCTATGAACAGGCAGAAGCCAATAGCCAGGTCTGGGAGTAAAACTTGGCGTACACCAAGCCTCCACATAGAGCAGGCTATTACAGGGGTAACAGGGGAGAGGCAAATTTGGTGTCATGTGTCAGAAAGTATGTCTTTCAAGAGAAATATGCAAACACGCAGGGTTATAAGACAACTGAAATATGTTGTTACTTTAACCAGCTCAGTACTGCCTCCTGCCCCCAAGATATGCCTTACTTTTAACCGCAACCACACTCTACTCAAGAAGAACCTCCAGCACTTCTCCAACTCCTGTAACTACGATCTCCACATCTTCATCACTGAACAGATCTGGAAACTCTCCTGTGAGAAGACAAAGGTGTAATTAGGAGAAGCGTTACACAACACATCCTGAGAAATAGTCTTCTACGCTGTATTTGGCACAATGGGGTTTAGGTGCATAACTAGAGCTATGCTATGACAATAGGTAGATCAAGTAATAAAACAGTCTCCTCCTGTTCCCCACACTTTTTCACCTAAAAAATACAATTCTTTATTTAAGGGAGAGGAAACAACATTTATTTAAAAAGACAAAAATATTTGCCCTGATAGGAAGTTCACTCATAAATTATATATCCCTCAGAATAGTGGTTCCTCTTCTTTTTTTTTTTCAGTCTGTTAGAAAATTGTTTTCCAGTCTGGTTGCAAAAATAGATAATAATTTTAAAAAACCTTTCAAGATGCTCCCCACCTGTACAGCATGGTATTATTCCCATTTTTCTTCCACCTATCTCTAGATCGCCACGTTCAGAATCGAAATTCTCTACTTTTTCAAAACATGGGTGAAACTGCATTACTGTCTGTTACACTTGCGCAGTCACAAAGACGTTGCTTGAACTCAGTGGAATCATACCAAAGCAAACATGGCATTAAGTGAAAGAGCAATTCCCATCTCCCCCCAGATCAACGCACTTACGCATGATAAGCCTCAGCAATTTGTCTCCTCAGTGGGCAATGCTTTCTTAAGCAAGTTAGACTCAATGCTCAAGTTGGATGGATTGACTTGGCTTCTGTAAAAGCTCCCCCTGCAAATACCTGAAAGAGAAATAACCTCTTTAAAGTTCAATGAAACCACAGATCATTTGTCATTGGAAAAGATCTTTCAAGAAATGCGTTGGTCTAATCACCTGATGCCAACAAGTCATTAATCAGCACAAGAAAGCGTTCATCTGGAACCTGGGCATCTGTCAGCAAAAACACTGTGGGAATGTTCTTGGCACCAGTCTTGATGTACAAACTGGCAAGAGCTACCTGTAAGGAAAGGAGGTAATCACTCATATTTTGTTAAAATGTTGATACAGAAAAAGTGTGAAATGCATGTTAGTGGACGGCAATGCATTGCTGACTTGTCCTTAATTTCAGTTTGTTTACGTATCGCAGTTTGCTGCATAACATCCAAAGAGAAAAACAGTTTGCCTCTGTTATCCATATCAAACACCGAGGTTTTGACATGACATAGTGGTAAAGATGAAAATGCACTACTAGGCAAGGAAATCCCTCCATGAACATACTAAGAAAGGGATATTGCAGCCATGAAAGTCCCCATCAAGAACAGCCATAACCATACCGATAATATCTGGGCATTGCACTGAAGAGGCAGATCCATTTTAAACTCTTATTTCTGCAGACTTTTTTTTTTTTAGTGAATTTATTTAGAACTTTCTCATGTAAAAAAAGAAAACAAAAAAAAGGCTCAGTTGAGTACTGCACTGTCACTTTTGCTGTCACACATGGGTGGCCCAGAGAGAGACATGGCATGGGACCATTGTGCTAGCAGTAGTACAAACACGGTATGTTTTTGGCATGGGGTTCCAGAAAAAAACCCCAACCCGCATCAGTTGCATTTGAGTGGGGTCACATTTGAAACACAGAATAAGGTCAGTGCTGGCCGATATGAACAAGTTGCCACACAACCTCACAGAAAGCAAATCCTCAGGCTTGTTAACAGAGGCTTAGAAGTTTCCCCGCTTGGGAACAGCACTGGAGAAATGACCACTTGAGCCCACATCTTCCACTGCACCTCATGTGCCCAGGGAAGGAGGGCACAAGAAGTTAGACACCATGTAAGACACTGAAGAACACGCAGCGCTTCTCTAAAACAGAATGGCACGTACCTCCCTCTGAAAACTGATGCCTCAGGCTGCACACACTGTGGTAGCTTGGCCATGGCCCAAAGCTAACAGAAAGGCTTTTGGGGGACTACCGTCCACCAAATTTGGCCACAATCTGAGATTAAGAAGGACCGCTTGCTGTCCACATGGAGTGAAAAGAAAGAAAACATTCTCTCCTTCCCTGTTTGCTCACAGATAGGGCTCAGTCTTGCGAGGTCCTGAAGTCTGTAAGCCTGACAGAGCACCTCACTCAACTACATTCCTTATCTTTGCATACGACCAGTTCAAGTGCTAAAATGACTCGCATGCAACAAGGCCAAAATTTTCCCCTGTGCTCACCCACAACAATTTTATTTCACTAAATCGATACACGTGAAATGACATGCAAAAATTTGTAACGGCGAACTTTAAATACCAGAACTCCAACCACGTATTTGTAGTGTGTGAAGCAGCTGCCTCAGAGAAAGTACCAAAATTCTGTGAAGCATACAAACAGACACTGGAATATCTTTTGTCCATACATTTTTCAGAGATAAAGCAAACCAGAGGTACAGCTGGAAACCACAGGAACCACAGGGGTTGTTACTGTAAATTATACTGTTTCGCCTGTGATTTTATCAAGCCCGTGCAGCAACAAAGCAACACATTCTTGAAGCAGTGAACTCAACAGACTCGAGTAATATCTATTAGTTTACCCTCAGGTCCTGGATGCCGTAGTCTTTCTCCAGTGCTATTTGGCAAACCTCCAGGGAACAGATGTATGCTGCCAGCCTCGACAAGCTTTGTTTACCACTACCACCTAACTCCAGTCAGAAGCGCATAAACCCTAGGGGCTTCTAGGATACGACTGATCCAGCACCTGATGACAAAAAACCAATAACATAACATAGACTTCAACAACCTTGTTAGTCAAGTTTCTCAATTTCTTTTTACTGCACCAAGCTTCCCGCCTCCCTTCTTTCTTTTTTGTCTATTTTTTTGGTAACGTGCTCCTGACACCTAAAGGTATATTACCTTCACGTCAGCATTTTGTTTCTTTCCCATATTAAAGCAAGAGGAAAGAAAAGCTGTTTTACTTTGTCAAATATTGAAGGTCTGCACTGACCTCTACAATGACCGGAGCTGCCTAGTTGCTTATACTTTACATTGAGCTGCTCCAAAGCACCATTCCAACATTCTGATGGACCCTGACTGGACTCGGAATAAAGACCTAGTTAACTTGGAGGGGGTTTGACTGGGCTGTGGGAGTGCAGGAAAATTTCGCATCTGGCAGTTTCCACCACAAAGGCTGAAGGACAGTGAATCACTTAATGAAAAAATATGCATCAAACTTCAATTTACCCTTCGAATTTCTGGCCCAGGCCACTTAAGGCATGTTTTTATTTGCTGATCATGGAATACTATAGGATGAATGAGGCCAGATGAGAACCTGGCCCGAAATTAGACAAGATTTAGTTGCTAGAATTCTTCCCCCAAAAAACTATGTTTGAGACATTAAAAAAAAAATAATCTCTTGCCATTGATATTTTAATCATTTAGATTAGCATCTAAAAATTATTTTCAAAATTTCATTTCTTAAAATCAGATGCAGATTCTAAGGGATTACAGCCTAATATCAGCAGACCAGAACTTGGAGATGTTGGACCCGTTGCTTCATTTTTCTTTCATGTAGCAATTAAAAAAAAAAAAAAAAGCAACCATCTCATTCTCTTTATGTCTCATTCCACTGAAACAATCATCCCTGAATAAACATCGATGAGAACCTTACTAAATAAAGGGATAATGTGTCTAATCTGGTTGCATCTAATAAATAGAATAGGTAGAAACCTGTTCAACCAAAACATTACTGGAAGCCAATCCTCTGTGACCTCACTGTAGAACCTTGTCAGCCTTATTCATGATTTCACAATAGATCCATAAAATAAAACCACACCAAAATATAAAAGCTGCAGAAAAAATTTACAGGATTTAATTTCACATTCACTCATGTGGGACTGCCAAATTGTAAGACTAAGACACCCTGCCACTTTGTTTGCCAAACTGGGATACTACTCTCGGTCACTAGACTTCAGATAATGGCTTACCAACATTTTCAAGCAAAACTAGCGATACCTGAGAAGGCTTCTGTCTGCAGTTCTGATGATTATCACATCAACCTCTAAATCAGCAGAACAAAATCTACAGTGCCTATGAAAGATCCATATGATTATCTTTGTAATTTAAGCTCTTTTTTAATCCTCTCAGCGAGAAATGTCTACAATAGACTGCTTTGTCAAGACTGCCTTCTCTTATATAGCTCCTGCCTGAGTATGTGCAAAGTGAAAAATGATGACACTGAAATCCTAGTCCAACTCAATGAGAAGAAAAGGTTCCGTGTTAAATAATTTGACATTGCAAATAATAGAAACTGCTTTAACGAAACTAAGCTCTGCCAGCATGGCCCTCTGTCTCTTACTGGAAATCACTAATATTACACATGACCAGAATGACTGTGTATGTTGAAGAAAGTCTATAAATAACGTCAAGGAGAAACAATGACATCTGTGCCTCACTTATTCAGCAAAATTTCAGTTCATCTTCTGAAAACTGGCTGGTTTTCTTCCATGCAGGAAAACAAAGCAAATGGAGTTAATAAGATTTCAGAAACAGAAACAGATTTTTGGCTATAACGGATACTAAGATATTGACTGACACGAGAAAAACAAATTAAATTAAACAGATATAAGGTAAGAATACATATTAAAAAAATCTATGGATAAATAAAATAATGGTAATTAAAAAAATCTATGATGACACAAGTCTGGGTTGGTTTAGATTTAAAAACATACAAGACTAAGCAGCAAAGCAACTTCAAGTCTGCTATGCAGTGGCATCATTTAGTATATGCTTAAGGTATTACTTGTCCCTGTTTGGAATGAATTTAATCTTAAAGGCATTTTTCCTTTCTTGAAAACAAAATATAAATATTATTTTTCTTATAAAGGCATGTTACATCATTAACTAATTAAAAGATAAGGCAGATGATCTACAGCGTTATAGATTATCTTTCCAACCTCGGAGAATAAATGCTGTTAATTTCTGTGCAGCGCAAGAGAGGATGAATCTCTGTTTAAACAAACAAAACAGAGGTTAGCTTTAACACTGAGCCACAATCTGCTCTTCTGTAATGGCAGCAATAAAGCACATTTGGCAGGACTATTGCTGCATGGTGCCCTCGCGTAAGCTTCCCCTCAAGAGTGTTTTGAGTCTGCACCACAACCACCACTGAACAGTAAAAAGCAACAACTTCATGCAAACATTGGTAGCATCATTATGAATTATTTGCTTCCTTTATAGATATTCCACTTACACATGCTGCATGGCACCCTCAAATAAGACTAGGTCCATAGAAACATGCACTTCGTTGTAGCTTTCTAGGAACTCCTTGAGTATATTCCTCAGTGGTTTCCACCCTTTCACTGGTGTGTAGCAAGGGTCTGCTCTTCCGTTTGCCAAATGGCAATAGATGAGCAGAGACTGCAGCAACACTTGGTCTTCCACATTCTACACACACCCCCCTCCATGAAAAATGTTTTCATGAAAAAAACAGTCCATTAGTGTAATGATCGATGTACCCATGCACTATGCACCAGAAAACTAAAAGTATGTGCAAGTATAGGTTCAAAGCATTTGCATAGTACATTCAAGCAGACAGGCTCCAAACAAACTACTAGTAAAGCTGTCTATATCTTTAATTGTTCATTTCTAAACTACCTAAAACTAAGGAACAATAATTTCTTTGTGACAGGAAGTCACTGCTCAATCTAGATTTGAACACTCCCACATATTTTGAATTTTCCATTTGGGTGTCCTCATTCCTATGCTTATTCTATTTCTTTTCACTCCTTTTTTACCAGCAAATAGAAATTAGAAAGGAAGGGAAAAAGGACTAGTAAACAAAGCTGATGATTTCCAGTTTCCGTTTTTTTGTCAAATAAATTCAAATACTCCCTCCCTTTTTCTTTTTCTCTCCCCCCCCTCCCTCCCCTCAACCATCAGGAAAGCTATTTTCTTTTTTAAAAATCAAACATACATGCATTTAATATATTGATTTTAGTTCATGCTTCTGCTGCTTTGTCTGCTGCAAAACAAGGATGCTTTGAAATGAAAAGTTTTCAAAGGGCAAGTAGAAACAGTATTGTGGTCCTCACTAGTTAACTCATGCTTGGTATTGGCTCCAACACACATTAATTCACGAAGAAACTGTATATGCAATAGGACTATATAATATGTGACGCTATTTTGTTTTCCTTGTGCCATGATACAATGAACAATACTGAGAGGTACTGTATTTCCTTCCATAAGGCAGGTTAGGGAAACAAAAGGCATACCTAACAAAACTTAACAGACAACATCAAGACAAAGGAACATACCTGTATCCTGATTTATATTTGCAGTGTTTCCACTGTGAAAACCAGATGGGTGTATTATCCCTCATCCCCACACAGCAGAAAGACCAAAACCTGTATATCTATTTTATGTCTTGCAATTTACAGCATCTTAATTCTTCAATAGTTTAATTCTGATAACAGATACTTTTATTTGGATAACCAACAGTGCTCACAGTTCAAAAAGTACATGCTGTTTTACTGACATGCTCCGAAGCCCAAAGAGAGACTGCAATTTAAAATTATTTGGAAAATAACTTAATTCATTTTTTAAATATATATGTATATATACACACATACATACACACACTTAATACTCAAACTATTCAGGGAAAGAAAACTCATGCAAAAGAAACACCTAGTAAAGGAAAATAAAAGTATATTATTTTTGTGGTTTGAAACACAGAATCAGGAAACAGAAAATGAAGACCGCAACTTGTTTCCACATATCCAGTGAAGGACATGAAGAGTCATGTCCACAGACAGGGTGCCACCTCCCCATTCTAGGGAAGGCTCAAGTGTTTGCTTTAGGTTACTAACAACACTGCAGCAGAGATATTTGACAGTCCTCCGCCAGTCAAACATTACAGTTAAGGTAAGAATAACCACCTCTGAATCTTCTCAAGGGGGAAGCTTTCTTGGTTTCCCCGCTTCACTCACTCTGGCACCTGGTTTTCCTCAATAAAAGGAAGATGCTTGCATTGGGGGCTGAGGATAAAAAGATAGTGTTCTTCTGCTACTTACAGTTCCAGCAAATAAGACCTTTCACTACACAGTTTTTAATTTGCTGGCATTAGGCAAAATACTTCCAAGCTACCAACATACCTCAAAATACTTGTGCATAGTGTCCATCATCATTTTAGAGAAGAAATTACAGTCTTTGTTTTGCACCAGTTTATCCCCATAGACACGTGCTGATTCATGAAACCAGAGACTCTGAGGATCATTTGGCTGCCATAAATGCTTGGGTGTAGCAAACAGAACGCCCTGAAGGTAAGACAATTTTTTTTTTTTATGCTGTAATCAAAACAGGCCACTGTGCAGAGTATCAGTTAGTCTCCCTTAAAAGATATTAATCATACTGAGTAGATACCCAGTACACATTGTGCTTAAAACTATATATTCTTTAACATGAACCAGAATGTCTCTAAATTAGCAAGTTCTCCAGCCAACTGAGCGTGCAAAATATACTTAAATCTCTGCTCTCCACTGACTGGCACACTCGGGTGACTCACTATAGTTTGAATCCCTGGTCCAACAGAGGTCACAGGGAAGTACCAACACTGCCAGGATGTTACGTGTTCACCAGCCGTGTTTTGCAATACCACTCAAGAAAACAAGACACAGTCATCATGACAAAATTAACACTTTCTCAACTGTTACCTCAAACTTACTTCCTTAACGAATTCCACGCCAGGATGGGTGCAAACATGCATGATGGGCCAGTACATCCACATCAAAACAAGGTATGTGTTATAATAGGAGACCTGACAAACCCTTGCCTCCTTGCTAACAGTTCACGAGGATCCATGGGCAAGAAAAATATTCTTGAAGTAAACAGAGCTGCGCTCCAAGGAACAGGAAAGGACGTAAAACCAAATCAGAATCAGACTCACCTGATTTTACAAGAGGGATCGGGGTTTGCTGACCATATTATATCCTTTCCTCATTTTTCTCTTTAATCCCTGCTCTGGTGTTTGGCTACTGGTTTCAGAGCTTCCTCAATCTCTGTTTTGTTCTACCTAGACTCCAGAAAGTTGCTCTTTCCTCCAAACAAACGCTGACCTCCTCTTCTCACAATAACAAGCAAGCATAGCAAACTTTGCAAACCATTGCTTTTTTTCCACTAAATATCTTTTCTTTTTCAGCTTTCTACCCTTCATCTACCTGACCGTAGCCACCTGAGTGCAGGGACTATCTTCTACTTCGTACAAAGGGCATCTGCTCCTCCTTAGTCCACAGGCCAATGTACATCATTAAATAATAAAGAGCAACAATAATAGAGTCGTGTTAGGTAGAAAATTAACCCATGATATAGGCCTGGAAGATGCTGAAGAGGTCTCATGTTAAAGATATAGGGGAACTTAATAGCAGTTGGTGGGAAGCTTTGAACCACTGCCTGGTGAAGCCATATAGCTGCTTGTACTACAGCTGGAATATTCTTGATGACTGATGGAGTAAAAGCACGTTGCTGGAAGTGGAAGTAAACTGTCTTGCTATAGATGGTAGTCAGGCAATCTGAAGAAGGGACGTTCAAAGCAACTACTGCAAAATGTCTCTGAAAGTGAAAAGGGAAAAAGAGATCAAGATTCTCCAGCATCAGACAGCTGGTAAGAGTCAATGAAGTGTTAAATGACTATACAGGCTGGTGAAAATACAGTTGCTTGTGTGTCACAGAAAATACTTCATTTCTAGCTTCATCCTTGATACAGTTCCACCGCAGTTGCATGTCTGGCTACGAGCCCCAAAGGTGCATCTGCTAGGTGAAGGACCACATGAGACTGCAATTGCTATGAAATTCAGGGGAATCTCAATATCATAATAAATATGGTGTGTCTCTTTCTGTTTAGCTCTAGGAACTGTAGGATTTTGAACCTGTACTAAGTTTCAGACATTATGTTTTCTCCTATCCCCTTTTGTCTCCTACCTACTGCAGTGAAAAGCTAAATAGTAATTATCTCCTGTATTAAATACAGGATTGCTATAATATGACACTTTAAACCATACCTGGAGTCTAGGGGTTGATAGTCAAGCTGCCAGCAGTTGGATTCACACAGGCAATATAGTGACAATTACGAATTTCTTTAATAGTTAGCTGCTGCCTATCAAACCTGAGAAAGAAAACGTAGCTTGATTAATATTAGTGACAAAATACTGTACATTTTCCAGGCTTGACCTCAATTGAAGAATCAACGTTTCTGCCCTATGGGAAATCTGGAATACAAATGGCCATGGAAGTATCAAATTAGGACTGACATTTTAAAATTAAGAAAAACCCACAATTTCTATCACATAGTGCTTTGTTCAACATGTTTGTTGAAATAAAGATAGTACATTCTCACAAAACATTCTGCTGATGGTAAAGAGAGAATTTTTTAATGAAACTGACTCCAAACAAACTTGGAGGAGTACAACGTGGTCAACGAAGTTCAAATCAGTTTGAGAATGCACACAACCATCATCAATAAGAGCAGACAAAATTACCAGATGGCAATAAAAAAAAACAAAAACAAAACCCAGCAAAGATCATCACAGAGTATGAGTTGGCATGCTTAAAAGATCACTCCTTTTTTTGCAGCATCATCCAATAGATACTGTTTCTAGCTCTCCAGATGACACAGCTCCAGGTGAATTAAAAGCAGGCCACTTAAAAAAAAAAATAAATAAAAATTGAGGGTTTCAGTAGCTAATAATTTGAGTTCCGATTGCCCAAATCTGAAGACAGAGTGTTGTTTCTTTAGAAGCTAGTGTACAACTGAACTAGGCCAAGCAGGTACCATCTTTAAAAAAGAACACTGTAAAAGGAAAACTCATAAATAATGCAGCCATTCCCTGCTTAAATCAACAAATCCTTCCCAGAACTTCATAGTGTAATGCATTCTCTTTCTTTCCGTCCATTTGCAACAAATTTTATTTTATTTTAGAATTTTCACATGGTTATGTTTAAAATTCCTGAATGGCATGGTCAACTTTTTTCTTAATTTGATTTGTTTTGTAAAATGGAGATTTTAGAATTTTCTTTTGGTTTTGTTTTAAATTAAACAATTCAAAAAAATGCAAAAGAAAGAAGCATCAACAGTTTTAAGCAGTAGGGACTTTTAAGATCTTAAGTTTAAAATCTTTGTGAGAAAAAAAGAAAAAAGATTCCTGGCTAGAATAGCATATAGCTCTGGGAAGAAAACAGAAAGGCATTGAGATGTTATCTTTGCATGTCACTGAATTAGACTCGATTGATTTCTCCAAGCTAGAGATGCTTCAGACTTGAGCAGTCACTTCCTTCCTTCTTTCTCTTTACATCTTATTCCTTAACAAGATATTCAGCTCACACCCGATATCATTTCTTCATGAGATGAAGTATGACCTAGTGAAAAGCTTATACAATTCGACTGAGTCTGCAAGAACAGTACCGATGTTACTGCCTCACCTTGGTCACAATCACAGTCAGACCACAGGGTATGTGCCAGTGAAAAGAGGAACCTTCTATGAAACAAAAGTTTTAAGGGTACAGGTAAAATCCTTGATCACATGGTGAAGATGCAGAGAACCAAGTAGATCCGCTCAGCCTCCTAATACCACTGAAGTATGGCTGGTTTTGTGTGTGGAGCATCTGCCTATCTGTGCACCTCTTTTTTTTTTTTTTTTTTTTTAAATGTCTGATTACTTCTCCCCTTTACTGACCAGATTATGACAATGTATTCTTTCTATGTCACATGCTTTCTTCACGTCACATAAAAGTGACATACTTGTATATGAACAAGAATCCGATATTCATTTATCAGATATTTATCAGATTTATCAATAACAATGAAGTATTTACACCAGATATAGATCCTCCTGTAACAGAATGAAATCAAACACAAATCATTTGATTTTAAACTAAAAACTTTCTCTTTCCACAGACTCCAGTGAAAGGATACTAATACATTTTAACTGCCAAAAAATTAAATTATCCTTTGGAAAGTAGTAAGGGAATTACCTTAATTGCCCAATTCAACTTAATTATTCTTCAGTGGTCATCTTCTGTAATTTTCTTCTTATGGCATACAAAGAGCATTCACTTGAACCAGTATCATAAAGATTTTGCGGATTTTGTCATCTTTACAGGGTGATGAAAAGACAGAGGGTAGTACAGGCTGAACATTTAGCAAGCTGCAATTTAGGAAATCCGTTTCTGCATCTCAGACATCCCTGTTCTCATCGCATCAATCGATGTGGTCAACATCCAGCAGCCCCATCAGGAGCAGCTGAAGGATACTTTTCTTCCAGGACTCTCCATAACCCCTTCACTTTCTGCTTCTCTTTTCTAAAACTGTCCATATTCTCCAGGGAGAGTATGCTTTTCTGTTTAAGCAATTCTCCTTGAAGCTTTCTGTTTCTGTGTGGTTTAGGCATCCCATCATGGACCACAATGCAAAAATTATAGCATAACATTAAGAAAGAAGTAAATGCTCACCAGTGTCCATAATATATATGCTGCCAAACCAATGCATGAGGTTGAACTGTTCTGTATCTATCCACTTCAGGCATATTCAAATCATCAATAATATAGATAAGTTCCTTATTTCCTACTTGACCATAGTTATGACCAGCTTCTTTCTTCAGCTTTTTTTTTTAAAAACATCTCTGAAATGTAATGCAACATACATAAAAATTATTACCATACTAAGCAATACTGAAACTAAACAAAATCAATAATTCAAACTCACGCTGGCTAAAATTTATGAAACATTTCACCACCTACAAGGGTTTTTGAATTACTGAAGTTCTTAGTAATCAGTGAAACTTACAGGGTGCCTTTGAAAAAACATCACAGTGGGATTCCGAATTCCAGAAGAGTCTTGTTGATTTAGCTGATTGTCTGCTTCACAGCTTTAGAAAAATCTCGCTGCACATCCATCTGCATCCTTTGGAACTGAAATGCTTTGAATGTGAAATCCCCAGGTATTCTGATGTTCAGCAAGCTTACCAGTGAAGAAACTTATTTTCTCCTTCTCTTGGGAAGGACTGAACAAGGACTTTAACATATGTAAAGGTGTAAAAACATAAATGATATTTATCATTTAATCAGGACACTAGCGTGGCATCTCCCATACTGCGGAATATTAAGCCGATTGTATTAAATTTCAGCCTATTCCCCAAAACAAGGTGCTTACATGATGCTGAACAGAGACCATCAGATAAAAAAAATTACTACAACAGTGAGCAAATTAATTCAAATACCCTACATATTCATCAGATCTGTAAAATCTTGAAACATAAATTTTGAATTTATACAATTTTTATCCAACTGCACTGCTTCCCTTAGAGGTGTAAGGGGAAGACTTACTACAGAAAGCTGCTAAGTCATCTTGAAAATATGGAAGATGTCTTCAGCATTATTAAAATATTGAACTTCGGTATCATGGGATCCTCGATTTTTGTGACTTAGTGAAGTACTCCACAGGTTCACAATAAAGGATTCATTCTCCATGGAAGTCTGATTTTCAACTGCACAGGGAACTTCATCATCGTTAGGAATTTATTAAAGCAGGACTGGAATCTATCTATCTTATCTCTCTTCCTTCCTAGGTCATATATTTTTGCCGTCTAAATGATCACATAAATGTTTTGCACAAAATGAAACCACAGTAATAGGTGCACTTCAAGGAAAACTTTTCAGCATGTCCCAGTGACTGGGGCTCTCATCTTCAGTAAGCAGCCGAATTTCAAAATCTCTCTCTGTTGCATTCAGAGCAGGGATTTGAACCAAAGGTGGTTATGAAACATTTAGGGAAGATGGTGGTTACAACCCTTGCAGCACTGAAGAGAATTTAATTCTGATTTTATATGTATGAGATTTCTCACTCAATACTGCTGGGCAAAGGAAAAAAGATTTCTCAAAAACTTTGTGCATCTAGCCCAGATTTCTTTGTCCAGTTAATAGTGTTGTGAATTTGGGCTACACCTGCTATTGGTTTTAAGATGACCAAGACCACATTTTTTATGACTTTAATATTTGTCAAGAAAAAAGTAGGGGAGGGAAGGGAAATTAAAAAAAAAAAAAAGGAATATTAGTGCCATGTATAATAAGTAGAATAGGAAAAAAATGCAGACTACAGACTTTCTTTTTTCCATTGCATTAGGCTGTATGTTAAAATCCTTTGGGTTAGATAGAAAAGAGTATGTGTAAACACATATGGTTTTGAGCTTGTCTTATTTTTTTAAAAACTGGGCAACGTGCTCACGAGAGCTTGTAGGAAATATAAACCGCACTTGTGTAGCGACAGCTGAATGCTGTATGTGACATACAGCAGACTTTTTGGTTTCTTAGGCAAATCAGTATAAACAAATATACCACTGCAAACAGTTTCCATTACAACGAAAGGAGCATTTGTGTTGCCATCTTAGATTCTTCATACAGTGAAATAAATGATCTGCAAACCTCAACAGTGATTTTCTCTGGCCAATTCAAGAAAGGTAACAAATGATTCCGAGGACATTTCCGTCTAGTCAGTCAGCTAAAAGGATGGTTACTGACTGTGGAGAAGAAAAGTAAGCAGATAAAAAGTGAAGGTGTGCTGGAGGACAAGACAGAAATTTAGAACCTCAACATATTTGCAACTGGATGATGATAATTTTTGGGGGAAAAAGCCATGACTGCACTTATCTGCTTTTCTATCACAAAGGGGAAAAAACTTTTTGCAGAAATGATGCGCATATGAAAGGCTTAAAGTATCTTAATTACCTTACAGTCTTACATAAAAGAAGATTTTCTTCTTCTTTTAGCTGAGGTACACATATACCTGTACTTTTAAACCCTGAATTAGGAATACTCCTTCTTCATCCTTAACCTTATCTAAATTTTAAATAGTGTCCATAATTATAAACTATTACTCCTATTATATTTTTAAAAAATACTGTGTTATTGCAGTACAATAAGGAAACATATTGTACGAAATTCCATTGTACATAAATGTTTATGCAAATTTCTTCTCTGTGGCACTGTTCCAGACTTTAGTATTGTTGAAGACTCCAAACTTGATGTACCAATATTAGTTTGTGACAGAACCTACCTCCATCAAGTAACATTTTGAAATTTACTGCTGTTCTAGAGGCAGAGAGGGTGAGTCATATGTCTTGGGGGAATGCTAAATAAAACTCAATGCTACATGCTAATCTCACCCACTCTAGCAGATACCTCAAAAAAGTTACATACATACAGATAAGATGGGAACTAGCAGAAAATACTGCAGATTAAAAGTGAGATGATCTGTAAGAAAAAAAAATCTTTCAACCTCTAAACTATGGAAAGAACATGGCAATGGAGTGAATTATGGTACTTCAATGAGTTCAGCTGTTAAGCTGTTATTTTTGAACTGAGACTTAATTTAAATTGCTCATTTGTGTAAGTTGACGTGAATGCCTCTTTGAATTAAAGAAAAAAATCCAGCAATTTGATTGTTCCAAACAATTGCTTGGAGTGGTAGACTAAAACACATAAAGACGGCATTTCAGTGTATCACTTGAATGCATTTTATAGGAAGAAGCACCTGTGGGCACAAACATAAAAATAAAGTAAGAGGCAGTCATTTTGAGCTATCTGTGACAGAACAAAATCATTCCATCACAACTCACTGAAAAAGAATTTGTAAACACAATGGAAAGCCAACGCAATATATTTGTTTCTGAATCGTCACGCAGTTCTTCACCTGCTGTGATTAGCAGAGGAACTTGCCAGCAGAGCATTTAAGAAGAGGGACTTGGCTGAAGAGCTGTGGACAGAAAGACGAGCTGCAGAAAACCAGAGAAGTCCACTTCCTTTTTCATCTCTTAGTATTTCTTAGAGGGAGCAGTGGATGTGTTGCATTATTGACTTGAATTAAAATCCGAAGGAATACTACTAACATTTCATAGCAAGTCCTTAAAGGTTCATAACCTCCCCAGTTTATGCCACATTATGGTTGGCGGGTGTGATACACTTGGAGAGAAAGCCCCCGTGACGCTGACTTCACCTGCTCGATTTATTTAAGAAGTTTCCTGCAAGAAGAATACACAACCTTTGCTACCTAGGAGCTGCTTTCATCAGCTTCTGTTTGCAATGGAAAGTGTTATGCCTTCGTGCTCTAGTGCCTTGGCCATGGTTGCTGCTGAATGGCAGTCCTTAGCTAAAAAAATCCCTCTCAGAACACAGGAATAGCTGAAAACTTTTTAAGGCTGATTCTCCATTAAAGGAGCTATAACAGTTTACGTCGGTTCATGATCTCGCTCTGATGCACCGCAGACCTCTTTTCGCCAAATCCCTCCATTAATTTTAAGGAGCAAAAAGGCGATTAGGTTTTGTTAATGCAGGATTCTAAATGAATATGAATTTGGAAACACTTTAAAGAATAAACAAAGACACAAAGTAAACGGAAAGTGGTATTTGCTTATCTGACCTGAATACAGAAGAAGTCAACAGGAGACAAGAAAGAAAAAGCAGGGTAAAAAGTTATTCAATAGAAATTTGTGGATTTATACTTATCTTTTTAAGCCTAGTGACAATTTGATCCATTAACAGCAATGCAGATTGGCTAAAAATTAAACATTTGATTGCATAAGCAGTTAAATTAAGCATCAAGTGAACTTAAACACACTTAAAGATTTTTATCTAAAGACTCCTTACATTTTGGAAAGCTTTTAAAAGCGATAAATTGTTTTCTGTATCTTCTCCCAGACACATGAGAGCATAAGACAGTTGTATTCAGTTCTTTCTCTTGTGCTTTTTACAAGTGTAAAAAGCTGTACAGCGAATAGGGCATGTCATTTTTTTCTGTATAATTGTATCAGCTCAAATTACTGTAAGGATGAAAAAAGAAGGCAAAGAGGGCGTACCCGCTGACAGCTGGGCTCTTCCTGGGTTGTGTTGTTCACGAAAAGCAGAAGATACACAGAGCTTTTATGAGCCTGTTTTGCTTTGACTGTATGACTCCGCTTGTTCCAAAACCTACCACCAGTGTGGTGTTTTTGGCCAACATACAGCCCCCTCTGCTCGTGTGTTATATTGACATTCCCTTTGCTCTGCATCCACCTCGCCTGTGGAGACTCCAAACTTCTCTAGAGAGGGATTGCCCCTCCTCGGGGACTGTGTGGTGCCTGGAAAAAGTAAGCCCAACTTCTGACTGTCTTATTTTGGTACATCCACAGGCACAATGCAGACACCCAGGCAAGCCAAAGCTGGCTCGAAGCTTCTTGTTAACATAGGTAAAACCGAATTTTCTCTTGTCCACAAGCACAGAGCAACCTGTGGGACCACTGTGTCAGTGCCAATTTGCCCCAAAGAATTTCACCCTCCTCTTTTCCTCTTGCCTGCCCCAGCTTCGTTAAGTTTGCCACTTTGCAAAGCAATGAGCTTGCCAAGACCCAGGCAATGACAGTAGCCAACACCTGTATGAGACTGTCATAACCACTTAGTATTTTTCATCTTTGCTGTTGAGGGAAGAGAGGTTTCTCGCATCTGTATGGAACTTACTCTGGAGTGCTGCTGATGTTGTGGAGTAGTTGAAAGGGATGTTAGCCAGGAGCTTGTCTTCAGAGAGAGCTTATCGCCTACAAATACTGTTTTTCCTTCTCTAGCATTTCCAACACGCATGACTGGTTTGGCTTTTGTGAAGAGCAAATCAATAAAATATTTGGGACGTTCAGTCTCAGATGCGCGAACAAAGATTGCCCCAAATGGAAAAGGAAAAAAACCCATCAAACACTTGCACAACACATTTTAGTTTTAAAAGCAAACAGTAATTTCTGTCTCTCTTCTGGCTAAGACTGAATTTTAAAAAGCAATGAAATGGGATACACTGTTCTCTTGTTCTCAAACATAAGTACTAGACAAAAATGTTGTACTGGATTACTTTTACACAGCATTTCTGCTTGAAAATTTGTATTCAATTTCTCCTAGTAGGAAGATTTTGAAATCAGGTTGTAGCTGAAATGCATTGGTTCCATCTCAACCCTTACAGAACACCAGTCTCCCAAAAACTGGTAGAGAAACAAAGGCTGGTGCAACAGGTAGTTGTTTTAATTTTTCAATTAGTAGTTCCATTTACTTTTTGGTCTGGCTGTCAGCATACCTAAAACTGTTTGGGCAAATAGCTGGCAATAGTTTAGCTTTACTTACTGTAAGCACCTAAAACCTTCATTGCCTGATAAAGCTTTCTTTTCCAAGTTCTGTATTTTCCTACTGTGTATTACCCCTCAAAGAGAACTTGTTCCAGGGTAGGTGATAATAGATAATGCCTCTTGAGCATCAGCTCCACGTTTCTGTGCCCACAAACTTCCCCGGGAAAATTCCTACTCATCTAAGCATTTAAAAAGAAAAAGACCTAGAAGATAATGCAATCAAAATACCATGAAGCATGTGAGAATATTCTAGGCAAATCACACTGAAAGAAAAAAAAGCAAAAACAAGCAAACCCCCAAACTGAGGCAATTACAGTTAATAGCTCATGCTTTCTTTTTCTCCACTGACTTAGAAAGAAAGCTCATGCTTTCTTTTTCTCCACTGACAGGTATATATCATACTATAATAACTTGTACAATTTTTATTCCATAAATACAACTCTAACTTTGTAAGTTGATCAAGAGCATAGCAGAAAGGTGGTAAAGTTATTTGCTTCCCCTAGACCTCATACCCTTCTGTTAGTATGAAGGGAATTTAGCTAACAAAAGAATACCTGTGCATAAAGCTGGTAACAGAAAAATGTTAAGGCTTCAATTTGTGATGTACAGTTGCTGTGGGCATTATTTTCAATGATTAAATGGACTCGGAGCCTGACTTTCTCCTAATTGTGGAAAAAGGGTGTAAACCACTAACACATTGAATGTGGTATGTCTTCAGGGGTGCTTTAATAGTACAAAAATCAATAAAAGCATTGCTTCATTGTTAATCCTCAATGCTCAATAAAGGCACATGGCCCAGATAGCAGAGATTTATCCAAACACATCTTCTGTTTGGATACTTCCAGGACATCTAAGATGACATCAGAAATCACGACAAGACCTCAAAACATTCCTGCACGTAGCAGCGCTCAGCTGTGTGGTCACTGGTGTGCACTGTACCGGCAGAGGTGCATCTGGATCCGCATCAGGACTTGGGACCTTATTCACCCAGGGCAGGAGCTTCCTCGTCTCTGGATCAAGGTAATAATCCAGCACTGTGCCCTGGGATGGAAGCTTCACTGCCTTCATCTTCTTAAGCCACCAGCAGCTCAACGCAGCTTAGTAATTCGAAAGCTATAAAAGGATGCATTCATTGTTTACAGTACTATTTCCACATCAAGGCATTCATATGAAGCACATACGAAAAACAGACATACACATATAGACTGTGATGAAATAGCCAAGAAGATCAAAGCAATATCTCAGTACTGCTGCTGTTTAAGTGGCTAAAGTCAGGCCTTCTGATAACATCTTGGACTGAGCGCTCGTGTCAAGATGTTGACAGCGGGGGACTGCAGTGCAGCCCCTGTAAGGAGAGGCTGGGGTTGCCCCATGCTGAATATGTCTGGTTCCAGCCAGCTCCAACAGACCCACCACAGGGCACAGCCGAGCCCCTCAGCTACACGTGGGATGCCTCTGGGAAAGCGTATGCAAGGAAGGGCAGAAAGACTGAGAAACAGTAGAACACCAGGGTCAGAGAAGGAAGACGAGGAAGGGAAGCTCCACGTTGCTGGAGCAGACACCCACACTGCAGCAGATGAAAAGTCCTGAAGGACTACAGCCCATGTAGAGCCCATGCTGGAGTAAGGGTAAAGTTTGAGAAGGAAGGAGTGACAGAAAGAAACCACTGTATACTGACCATATTTCCCCATCCACCTACACCACTTGGAATGGAGGGGTAGAAGAGTCAGGAGTAAAGGAGTGAGTCTGAGCTTGGGGAGTAGGAAAGGAGGAAAGGTTTTGTTTTAATGCTTGCCTTTGTTTCTTACTACCCAAATCCATTTTAACTGGCAACAAATTAAATTAATTTTCCCAAAATCAATTCTGTTCTGCCTGTAACTGCTTACCAATCTCTCTACCTTCAAAATCTTGACCCACAAGATTTTTCAGCCTATGAGAGTAATCGCTTACCAATCTCCCCACCTTCAATCTTGACCCACAAGATTTTTCAGCCTATTTTCTCACCCTACCCTGCTGAGGCGGGGGAGTGAGCGAGCAGCTGGGTGGGTGTTTGGCTGTTTGCCAAGGCTAACCCACCACATACAGCCCAAATATTTTATTTCCTAAAACTTCTAAATTCAGTTGGAATCTATATAGCTGTGAGACAACAGAGCTGACTTGCTACAGACAATATTCTCCTTGCTGTGTTTGTCCACAGAACAGCAAGTCTTTTTGAAGGATAGGAAAACAGATGTTAATATGACCCAAAAAGACCTTCCCAGTCCCTTGATGTGATAATGTATTGCTTCTGATTCTTCAACTTATGCGAGGTGGTCCTTTACCCATGGATGAAACACATATAAATTTGTTCCTTCACAAGGGCTTCATCTCATTTACACAGCAGTAAAGCCAACTGTATTTTTTTAGTCTTTAATAGACTAGATATTCCTCAAGAAATCAAGGTCTATCTAATCAAAACACTGGCAAGTAATTGTAGAGTTTTAGAACTTTCTTCTTCAAACCTTTTGTAGCATCACAACAACAAAAAAATAATCACTAAGGGTATTATTATACCTTGTATTATGCCAAGGTTTTATAATACCTGGCTTATATCTACATTTCTCAGTACAAATCCAACAGGTGAGATTAAACATACATCTGTCCAGCCATTTATTAGGTGCCTTAATTCTGGTAGTCATGACCCTCATGGTACTTTTTGTTGCTTGCCAGGGGCTTTAGTATAGATCAAAAAGTACAACTGATAACACAGCTTCTTTATGCACAATGAATGACTCTGCACAGTCTTGCACTGCGGGCAGTCATAGAATCATCAAATAGTTTGGATCGGAAGGGTCCTTCAAAGGCCATCTAGTCCAACCCCCCTGCAATGAGCAGGGACATCTTCAGCTCGACCAGGTTGCTCAGAGCCCCATCCAACCTGACCTTGAATGTTTTCAGGGATGAGGCATCTGCCACCACTCTGTGCAACCAGTTCCAGCATCTCACCACCCTCATCATAAAAAATTTCTTCCTTATATCCAGCCTAAATCTTCCCTCTTTTACTTTAAAACCATTACCCCTTCTCCTGTTGCAACAAGGCCTGCTAAAAAGTTTGCCCCAGTCTTTCCTGTAGGCTACCTTTCCTGTAGTACTGAAAGGTTGAGATAAGGTCTCCCTGGAGCCTTCTCGTCTCCAGACTGAACAACCCTAACTCCCTCAGCCTGTCCTCAGAGGAATGGTGCTCCAGCCCCAGGTCATCTACGTGGCCTGCCTCTGGACCCGTTCCAACAGATCCATGTCCTCCCTGTGCTGGGGCCTCCAGAGCTGGACGCAGTATTTCAGGTGGGGTCTCACCAGAGCGGAGCAGAGGGGCAGAATCACCTCCCTTGAGCTGCTGGCCACGCTTCTTTTGATGCAGCCTAGAATACAGTTGGATTTCTGGGCTGCAAGTGTACATTGCTGTCTCATGTCCAGCTTTTCATCCACCAGTAGCCCCTACTCCTTCTTGGCAGGAGTCCTTCTCAATCCCTTCATCCTCTAGTCTGTATTGACACTGGGTGTTGCCCCAACCCTGCGTTTGGCCTTGTTGAACCTCATGAGGTTCACATGAGCCCACTTCTCAAGCCTGTCCAGGTCCCTCTGGATGGCATCCTGTCCCTCAGGTGTATCAACCACACCACTCAGCTTGGTGTCATCCACAAATTTGCTGAGGGTGCACTTGATCCCACTGTCTATGTCATTGATGAAGATATTTAACAGTACCGGTCCCAATACAGACCCCTCAGGGATGCCACCTGACACTGATCACCATCTTGACATTGATCTGTTGACCAGTACCTTCTGGATGCGACCATCCAACCAATTCCTTGTCCACCGAACAGTCCACCCATCAAATCCATACCTCTCCAATTTAGAGAGCAGGATGTTGGGGGGGTGACCATACCAAAGGCTTTACAGAAGTCCAGATAAATGACATCTGTAGCTCTTCCCTTGTCCACTGAGGTGGTCACCCCATCACAGAAGACCACAAGGCTTGTCAGGCAGGACTTGCCCTTAGTGAAGCCACGCTGGCTGTCTTGAATCACCCTCCTGTCCTCCATGTGCCTTAGCATAGCTTCAAGGAGGATCTGTTCCATGATCTTCCCAGGCACAAAGGCAATGCTGCCAGGTCGGTAGTTCCCAGCATCCTCCTTTCTACCCTTTTTAAAAATGGGTGCAGTGTTTCCCTTTTTCCTGTCACCAGGGACTTTGGGGGACAGTTTTCCAGACACTGGGGACAGTCAGCTCATTTACGGATGAGAGCTGAAGTACACAGTACTACAGGCCAACAAATCAGATGCATAGGCCATTGCTCTGCACCCCCTAGCAGCATTAGTGGATTGAAACCTGCACATACATATATACACACACACACATATGTATTTATATCGGCTTAAATAGGAAGGTAGGTGTGTAAATACATTATGTCTCTTTCTGAAGCACAGTAAGATACTGCAGTCCTTTTCATTTACTTACCTGATCTTGAGAGAGTGCCCCACCAAACGCCCAAATACAAGCAAAGATAATACATCTCCTCGAGCTCTCTAGGGCAATCCATTGGCACCTTTTCAGGGGTCAGCAAACAATCCAGCACAGAACAGAGTTTCTGCAATAAATAAGTATGTGAAAAGAGCGACACGTGAGTCTTACTCCATAGGAAAGCTACCGTGACCTCAAGAAGGTATTTAAATTTAAGTAATGAGACCACAACTCCTTGCTGTGTTTCCTTATTGTCTAGGAGCAAATTTCTGAGGTCAAAGGCATGAAGAGATCTTCTGATAAAATGTATGAAAACACCTTCACTCTACACTGCTTAAAGCAAGGTATATGAAGAAGATAATACAGTTCAGGCATGTATGTTATGGCAGAATCTTAACACTCATACTCAGTTATTTTTCTCCCCTCATATTGACTTATTTAGAAGCAGGGAAACGCTCAGAAGAGTTTAGAATGACAAGGCATATTACGTAAATTTAAAATGTCAACATAAGGATGTGCAGTATCAGATCATTTATACATGAAACAAACAGAGCTCAGCTCCATTCTTTAATAATATTTAATAACATAGGGCCTCATTATCAGAGCATGAGAGTAACTAATGCTAATGAATTTAGCAAGCATTTAGAGAGAGGCAGAATGCTTGTATAGAGAGATGAAATGGCTAGCCCTAAGCTACCTAAGACATTACTAACAGAAGCAACACAAGAACTGAGAAGTCAGGGAATTACGTGCAGTGCCATAAACATACTACATTTCTTCTTGTTACAGTGGACCACTGCAATATGAAACCTCTGAAACCCTGTAGGTCTCCAAAATAAGGGTCCAGGTTTGATATATAAGAGCCTCTCAGTTTCACCTCACATATGTTTTAGATACACAGTAATTTTAAGCCTTTTTACTCCTGCATAGGACCACATGCTCAGTGGATGTTTCAGAAATACTGTTTCTTAAAATATAAATAGTTTTAATCCTAACACATACCTGAACCATACTGTTCTCAGAAATAGGAGTAATAGTTTTAAAGCTTGTTCTGAGTTGTTCTAAGTAAGGAGGCACATATTTATCAGAGAGCAGTCAAGTTAGCTTTTTTGGATTGGTATCGCCTTGTTTCCAGCCAGCTGGCAACATACCTGCAAAACAAACTGGAAAGCAACCGATTTTTTATTAGAGAGAAGTTAAAAAAAAATACAAAATTTCCTCTCTCTAGCTTTGAAATGTGAACTTTTGTTGACTTTTGAGAACTGTTCATGACTGCCTTTAGTGCAATACACAAATACTACTGCGCTGGCTCTAAGTCAGACATAAGTGCTGCCAGCCTTACAACACTTATTTGTTCATACAAAGGTCATCATGCTGTGGTATTTCTAAGAGCTATTATGACAGTTGAGCACTCTGGTATATGGCTATACTCATTTTCCTTGCCTGCATCTTTTAGTCCAGGAAGGGCAAGGAGAAAGGACCTAGACGATAGTTCGCGCCTGCTTTCAGAGGGCTGCACCACCAAAAAAGCAGGTGGGAGCAAGGATCCTGTATTTGTTTTGTGTTGTTTGAGAACAGACTACTTGAAATACCAGTGCACGAGTTGTACGCAAGACTGAAGATATTGTGACACCCAAGTTCAACATAACTTGCATTGCAGATATCTACAGTAGTATATATAACGTGGTCTGGCTGAAATGTCTGGCTATATGTAATTGAAGACAAAAAAGCAACCATTCTCATCTGCTGCTTCTTATCACAACCAAGCGTAAAATTCCTTATCACTAGGATAACTATAGCACATGCTTCAGGTTAGCAGCCACATGCCTACCTGCCTATATTCCAAAGAATTTGGCAATTTTATCCCCTACTCGTGTTCACACAGTATTAGTCAAACACAGTCTAAACCGATTATTTACTGATTCACAGCTATTCTATTTGGACAATTTGTTGCCTACTGTTTCCACCTTCATACTCTGTCTGCTGTGAGCGATCTTACTGCCTCTCTCTGTCCTCACCATTCCTCTGATCCTCATCACCCTAGGTGGGAGCTTGTACAGATTCATTCTGTTTAATTAAATTCTCGTACTGACAAGATTTCCCTAGGGAATAAGCGCGCTGAAGGCTTCTTGTCCCAATGGCATACAACTCTAACACAGCCAGTTAGAACTGACTGAAATGTTGATAACATCGGAATGCTGAAAAATTGAATTTTGACATGAAGCAGCAGTAATGCTGCTTGAAAATAAAAACACCAACTGACAAACGTTAAAAAAGGTTCACTTACTAAAATTTGTAAGAACTGTTTTGGATTAGCTCAACAAATGCAAAAGGAAAAGATCGCGCTTCAAGTTAATGCATTTTGCTTTGTGCCAACTAAATTCCTTTTTATACATGGAAACCCATATTCTTTAGAAAACATAGTTCTCATAATTAATTTGCATGCAGCATAGATATAAATTTAAAAGACCAGTACTGTGATCCAAAGGAGCAAAAAGTCAAGCTGATGTAAACCCATGTCCTTAACAGTATCAAAGATGGTGACAGTTATTAAAAAGCTGTCAGAGAATAGTAGCCAAGTTATTCACTTCTTGCTACTGCCAAATTTGCATTACAGAAAGCAGACAGTTCACTACTTGTATTTGGTTTGTGTGGCAAGGTTTTGGTAGTGGGGATGGCTTCTGTGAGATGCTGCTAGAAGCTTCTCCTGTGTCTGATAGAGCCAATGCCAGCCAGCTCTAAGACGGACCCTGAGCCCATCAGTGATGGTGGTAGCGCCTCTGTGAGCACACATTTAAGAAGGGGAAAAACCTACTGCACGATAGCAGCTAGAGGAGAGGAGTGAGAATATGTGAGAGAAACAACTCTGCAGACACCAAGGTCAGTGAAGAAGGAGGGAGAGGAGGTGTTCCAGGTGCCAGAGCAAGAGATTCCCCTGCAGCCCGTGGTGAAGACCACAGTGAGGCACACACTCCCTCTGCAGCCCATGGAGGTCCATGGTGGAGCAGATATCCACCTGCAGCCCGTGGAGGACCCCATATGGGAGCAGGTGGATGCCCAAAGGAGGCTGTGACCCCATGGACAAGTCCATACTGCAGCAGGCTCCTGGCAGGACCTGTGGACCCATGGAGAGAGGAGCCCACGCTGGAGCAGGTTTGCTGGCAGGACCTGTGACCCCACTGGGGACCCATGCTGGAGCAGCCTGTGAAAGGGACACACGCTGGACCAGTTCATGAAGAACTGCAGCCCATGAGAAGGGCTCATGTTGGAGATGTTCGTGGAGGATTGTCTCCCATGGGAGAAGGGAGCAGGAACAGGGGAAGAGTGTGAGGAGTCCTCCCCCCTGAGGAGGAAGGAGCAGCAGAGACAACATGTGATGAACTGACTACAACCCCCATTCCCTGTCCCCCTGCGCTGCTTGTGGGGAGGAGGTAGAGAATTCAGGAGTGAAATTGAGCCCAGGAAGAAGGAAGGGGTGGGGGGAAGGTGTTTCAAGATTTGGCTTTATTTCTCATTACCCTACTCTGATTTTGATTGGTAATAAATTAAATTAATTTCCCTGAGTCAAGTCTGGTTTGCACTGATGGTAATCACTGAGTGATCTCCCTGTCCTTATCTCAACCCACAGGCCTTTTGTCGTATTTTTCTCCCCCTGTCCAGTTGAGGAGGGGGAGCGATCAAGCAGCTTTGTGGGCACCTGGCATCCAGCCAGGGTCAACCCACCACACTACTGCATTGATTAAGCAGTACACATAAGAGCGAAAAATAAAACACTTAACTGATGATGAAATTTTCCAAACTGCATATTTGAGAATATACAGGGCCACCACTACATCATCCCACTATTATCAGAATAAAAACTAGAAAGAAGAATTAACATAAATATGGGGTCTATTCCCATTAATCTTCAAGATGTATCTTAAAAATGCTAACTAATGTCATCAGATACTCACTGATTTCACCCCAGGTCCTGGATGTTCAGATAGAGAATACCAGCTCTGGATACCGTACCTGGAGTAGCAGCTCTTAAATGTTGTACCTCAAACAGCAGCTACATTGATGGGGTCAGAGGCACACGTTTATTGCTTGTAAGGGTCTGAACCTAGAAATCATCAGTAAATTTTTCAGTGAAAGCAAGCTAAGATACACTGTCTATCAAGAACATGATCAGGGCAAGTATGTGTTTATTATAGCCCCACAAAGGAGCAAGGATTATCTGCCAACATCATGCATATATGCTATTTCTTGAACATAGCTAAACAAAGTTTATTTGAACACGGATACAGTATTTTTACTTCAGAAACACAGAGGAGGACAAATTCTAAAGACCTTTTATGAGTTTTTCACAGTTTAATTCATTCAAAAGACGACTAGCCTGCTTCACCAATGTGAGCTCTGAAAGCTATTAAAAGCAGGGGAGGGGAAGTCTCTCTCAGTGTCAATATAAATAAACAGAAAAGGATTCAGAGCAGGAGCCTAAACTCAGGTGCTCTGAAACATCCCTTAGAAAAGCCACTTTCTGTTCATTATCTGAAGTTAGGCTATATGGATAGCCCCAGACAGCCACCTTGCTGAGTAATCGGAGACTGTGCCACTACATAGGTTTAAGTTCTTCAAAGAGGAAAGCTTAACAGAATGTGCTAAACCACATTTACCTTCTTAAGGTCACACTCAGATTTTAGATTTGGACTTCGTTATGTTGCAGCATTTCCCACAGTCAACAAAATTGGTTAGCTGTATAATTAGTAAGAAGGGCATAAGAAGTCTGGGTAATACTGCTAGTTCTTCAACTGACTTATTTACATTTCCTAACACTAGCCTTCCTTACTACAGAGATGTGAGGACTTTACTCATGGAATCTTACATCTGTTTTACTGAGAGGCTTTCCAAATGCCAGTTTCAATAATCTTATGATTGACATCTTGAATTACATCAACCCATACACTAGGAGGCACAATCACCCTCACAGTATACATAGGCTACATTAAGGATTTTTGTTGTACAACATAGGCAAGACTTTATGCATTAATCAGATGATAAAATATTACTTAGCAATAGTGAAAACCAAAGAATGGAAGAAAAAAGGAACACACACTGAAAAACTACCTCCAGAAAAATAAAGGAAGAGGGAAACATGAAAGCAGGTAAAGGGGAAGCCACTGTACCTGCTTCTCAATTGCTCACCTTGTTGTCATCCATAACAGCGTTGAGCAACTTAATCCACACAGGATATATATCCCCATCTAAAACTAACTGGTTTGGCCCCTCCTGGGTAATATTAGCTTGGTCTCTCAGAAGAGATGACAGGAGATCTGCAAATTGTATTTCAACAGAATCCCATCACTTTAGTGCTTCAGTAACAACACTGCACAGCAATTAAAACTTCAGACGACTTAATGCATCACTGAAACAAGAAGCTTTCGTAGCATCAAACCCATGCTTTTTTCCTTTGCTTGCTTATTAGGTGGTTACTCAAAGTAAAAATAAAAAATACTTTCAGTGAACACCTAATACAGCAAAATTACTGCATTTTATGTAATAATGACCTATTTCTGTTTTGATTACAGGAGAGTATGTCATTAGTCTTAATGATATGGGTGAGACATGGGAGGTTTCATGAGTCTGGGGAGAAAATAACTTGCCTTTTAAAGGAGCAGAATCAGCATCGTTCACGCTAGTACTTTTCTGTCTGCTAGCATCTTGCCCTGCCTCCAGTCTTTCCATAACCACCAGTGCTCTCCACACACATCTCATTGCATCAAAACACAGAAAACTGTAAGAATTTGGTCTCCAATACCTTCTCTGAATTTGGGCATTGTCCAGTTCTGATGAAGAACGATGCCTCCGGGAACAGGTCCCAGTAAGAACATGTGTCCTACTTGCCATCTGTCCGTTCTCAGGTTCCATGGTGCAGAAAACCAAAGAGCTCATCAGCTGTCAGAGCTTTTGGGTTAAGGTCATTCCAAACAGGCTTTTGTTTCGTGTTTACGTACATGTGATGCAGAACTTCGAGCACCTGAAGAGGAGGCACAGGCTGCATGTTAGTGACACGATTTTGATACAATAGAATCTTTGACTTCCCTCCTGAACTGGGTCTCTGACTGCAAATCCCTGCACTCAGTCAATTGTTGACCTTGACTTACTCCTGCCTCTGTGCTGCGTTAACCCCAAATTTCCATCTCAAGCCTAAGGGTAGGAAAGGAGAATCCCATTCTAAAGCGGCCGTACTCTGCAATTGATCTTCTCTAACAGAAAGTGTTGAATAGGGAAGCAAATCCATGCAGGTGCCAACATTTAGTAGCAGAAATGGGCAAGCATAATCTATTAGAAGTATTTGTCTTGTGTTTTGGCAATATATTCCACCATTTCTGTCTAGAAGCCTAATTAAAGCACCCCGCCTCTCCTTCCAGAACAAAGTATTACTTGGCCTATGTGTCAAATAGAATGCTCATTACTTGGTGACATGATTAATTCTCCTTTGGGACATGCAAGCAACACATTAAATGTAGAATTTGCTTGCAACATTTGAGCTTTGCCATTGCATGTCATGTGACTGACTGGATGGCCTGAACAGTGTGTTATTCCACTGGATCCTGAGGCAAAGGCAACACACAGAATGTTTTCTGCAAGAACCATGGCAATTTCTTTAGAATGTAAGGTCAAAACCACGCTGTGCAGGTAGGCAGGTACCTTACTCTTCCCAGTCCCCGCATTTCCAACAACAAACACTGAGTGACGCACTGCCAGGAGATCCTCCAGCTGAACAACCTACCGCACAGAAGGGATACACACTGAATGCCTTTCCTCTCCTGCAGTACTCTTACTATAGACACGCAATTATTCACAAAATTTATCTCCCCCTCCCTGTTCCCGTTAACAGGAAAAATGGACTTAAACCTTCTCAGCAGACTCGCCTCAGCTGAGCTGATGCTGCATCAAGCAACATCGTTTATCTCCCAGTAAACAGGAAGAAAATTGGCTTAAATTAATGAACGCATTATGAATGCTTTACATCCATACAGTCCAGTAGAAGCTACCTCAACAAATCTTATTCTGCTTTACATCCATACAGTCCAGTAGAATTTTGGTATGGAACAGTTATCACAAATTTGCCATGAATTTAGCAGAGTGAATTCCACACTCAACAGTTGTGCAGCTATAATTTGGTAAAATACAAATTCAGTCCACTAAAGTAATACATTTCTTCCAAAGAAATAGTTCTGTGAGCTACAGAATGAAAACAGCTTAGATGCTTATGGATTTCTGTCTTAGCAAAGAGCACCCACACTGATTTTCTAAAGTTCAATAGGAACAAGTCCATGTTCTTCAGTACTGATCTTCTGATTCACCCAGTTAGCAGGAATCTAAATACTCTATAGAAGGCTGATTGCAAAGTTCATAATACCACAAGGTATAGCTTATTGTCTTTCGCCTTTCCATCAGGATAATGGAACAAGATAGACTACAGCAAAAATTCCTTTATAAATCCTGAGATCAGTCACATTTAATCACCTTGGTTGTTTCAGTTTCCAATAAACCCTAATGAAGGAAAAGGGTGTGCTATCACATACAACGGATGTGGATGTTCCTTGAAGAAGGGTGGGAATATACTTTATTAGTATTCCAAATAAGCACACTTTTTATTTGGTCCGTATACTAACCAGCATTTCTAAATTTCACCTTTTCACCCTGTCTGTAATTCATACTAAAATTAGTGTTTAAATTTAGCCTATAGACAACTCATTCTTATGAGTATACATGCATACATACATGTACACACATGTTTTAATATGTGTATAGCAGAATGTATATTATTTTGCACAGAAATAGCAGAACACACAAAAATCACATGAAGCCATGCACATTCCAAATGCACACCTTCTTATTTATGTTTTTGCTCCCTTACTCTTCTTTCCTCCCTATAAATAATCACCAACAATTACTTTGCTACTAAGTACAAATGCTTCGTACAGTACACAAACAAACAAGTTTGTCAGTGCAGACAGCTTTTTTTGAACAGGATACGTGTTTCCTTATAGACCTATTGATCATCCTGAGGTGCATTACTGCCACGACAAAATGCCTTTGAAATACCGAGACATTGAGGACACCTTATCAATACAGTAACATACCCAAAAATAAAGTTCACGTCTAATACAACCCATTTGCAATTATTTTTGATTGAAACTCTTAAGGGGAGTAATTAAAGGCAATGAATTCTTTTACTTTGAGAATGAAGCTCTCTTCAGGCTGCAAGGGAAGCTCCAGGGTAGATTGTTTAACCATCTGTTCAAATTGCAGGTTCCTCTTCCTTGGAACATCCAGAGCTGGAAACAGGTCACTGATCAGGCCTGCGAAAATTGGGATATCATCTGTCACTATTTTAGGCAAATTGAAGTCTCTCAAGGCTCACATAAACGCCTGGAAAAGGACAGTAAACCAAATATTGCAAGCATCAACTCCTTCCCTTTTTAGGATTCTGTTTTTATTCAAAGGCAAAACACCAGAAACAGGCCCTACTCTTAGATGCTTTTTAAGTGAAGATTTTACCTGATCCTCAGGCCTGCTCTTGCCTCCTCCTTTCAGTGAGCCAGCAACTACCAAGACTGGCTTGATAGCACAAAGTCCCCTGTCTTAACAGCCCTGTGAAAACATTTTAACTAGTCGTGTTAGCACAGGAAATAAAACTAAATGTTAACATTTAAGAAGAAAACAAACTGTTATTACACACAGAATAAAATGACACCTTTTTATTCCCTTGTAGTTTTGCAGTGGTTTTAGGCCAGTGTTGGAAGTCTAGTAAAGAAAAAGCAAAAAAGTGTGAAATGTGCGTATCTATCTACTCTTTAGTATTCCACCACTTTGCTCCCTATTTTTAAACAGCAAAATTTGCACCATCAAATATTATTGTATTAATTGCAACTATACCTCCATGATGAAACAAGGCAAGCAAAAATTTGCTGCCAGACTTCTACTAATTTGACCTGATGCTAGCAAAACTTTTCTATTTCCAAAAGAGAAGACTGGACAGATTATCAGCATATTTTGCAACCAACTCCATCACCAAAATTAAAGGAAAAGAGAAACAGATAAATACTCAGCCTAGAGGAAAAGCACAGAATCATTCGGTAAGTGAAAGGCAGAGAAAAAGCCTGTATCTTCCCCTAAGCCCTCACAGTGTGAACACAGATACCCAACGCAGAAAGCAAAAACTTTTTAATCACACGGGGGCTCTTCAATCCCTCTTTTTCCAGGGCTGCGTAACAACCACCTCGTTCCCTTTCCCTTCTAGGTAACACAGAAGTAGAAAGAGGAGGAGTTTGAAACATTTTGGAGATTTAAACAATTTGAACAACAACAGCTTAGAATCACAGAATCATTTAGATTGGAAAAGACCTTTAAGATCAAGTCCAACCCTTAACCTAGCATGGCCAGGCTACCACTAAACCACATCCCTAAGCACCACATCTACCTATGTTTTAAATACCTCCAGGGATGGCAACTCCACCACTTTCCTGGGCAGCCTGCTCCAATGTTTGACAATCCTTTCAGTGAAGACATTTTTCCTAATATCCATCCTAAACAGCCCCTAGCATAACTCAAGGCTGTTTCCTCCTGTCCTATCACTTGTTACTTGGGAGAAGAGACCAATGCTCACCTCACTACAACCTCCGTTTAGGTAGATGTAGAGCACGGTAAGGTCTCCCCTCAACCTCCTTTTCTCCAGACTAAACAACCCCAGTTCCCTCAGACACCCCACATAAGCCTGGTGCTCCAGACCCTTCCCCAGCTCTGCTGCCTTTCTCTGGACACGCTCCAGCACCTCAATGTCCCTCCTGTAGTGAGGGGCCCAAAACTGAACACAGTATTTGAAGTGTGGCCTCAAAAGTGCCGAGTACAGGAGGACCATCACTTCCCTAGTCCTGCTGGTCACACTATTCCCGATACAGGCCAGGATGCTGTTGGCCTTCTTGGCCACCTGGGCACACTGCTGGCTTATATTCAGCCAGTTGCCGACCAACACCCCCAGGTGCTTTTCCTCCGGGCAGCTTTACAGCCACTCTTCCCCAAGCCTGTAGCTCTGCATGGAGGTGTTGTGACCCAAGTGCAGGACCCGGCACTTGAGCTTCTTGAACCTCATACCATTGGCCTCGGCCCATTGATCCAGCCTGTCCAGATCCCTCTGTAGAGCCATCCTACCCTCAAGCAGATCAACACTCCCACGCAACTTGGAGTTGTCTGCAAACTCTCTGAGGGTGCACTTGATACCCTTGTCCAGATCAGTGATAAAGACATTAAACAGAACCGAACCCAATACTGAGCCCTGGGGAACACCACTTGTGACCGTCCGGCAACTGGATTTAACTCCATTCATCACAACTCTTTGGGCCTGACCATTCAGCCAGTTTTTTACCCAGCAAAGTGCACGCCCATCCAAGCCACGAACAGCTTGTATGGTTGAAGGGAGCACCCCAACAGCCAACTTCATGGTAGACCCCTTCAGCCATACTGAAGTTACAGCTCTCTAAATTTAAGGCTACACCTACACTTTAATGGTGTTCTTGCAGCTCATGTAGAGATCCCAGATGGCTAATTCTGGTATAACCATCAGTGGGACCAACTACTGTAAGACCAGCTGGGTCAGCATGATGATAATCAGCTCCTCCCTGACCTCCGTGCTGCTGCAGCCAAGAGTTACACAGCCACCATCTCCTTATATTAGCATGCATCACATTGCTCACGGTGGTCTACAGGTTCCTTACTGTGCACACACTACCCCTCCCTCAATTTCAAAACTCCATCTAGGGTTGCAACTACACTGCGGTCAGCACCCAAACTGGCTACCAGTCAGGTAGAGTGCCAGAACATTAGCTGCAACCACACCTAAGACATCAATATAAATACAGCCTAGTTAGTATTGTTACCTAAACAAATAAAAAATAAAAAAAAAAAAGAGAAGGGTGAGACAAAACCAGTACAATTTTTAAAAGATGTCACTATCACACTTTCCGTGATAGCGGCACTCGATAACTGTGAATCAAATACACAAAATATGTCACGAAGAAGAAAAAATAAAAAGCAATTTTCAATTTCAGAACACTTGGTAATCAGTAAGAAAATCTGCCATTTTTTTTCTGAGGTACTAAAGATGGTGAGCATCCACAAGAAAAATGAGTGTCCATATTTTATAAATCTTACACCTAGGTACAGAAGTTAAACATGGAGATGGTTAGGAAAATAGATAATTGTGGGAACGTACTGGGGTTAATAAGCTTTTGCTTAGATGTAGGTAACATTGGGGGGTTTTATTTCCAAATTTTTTGATGGTTTGCTGTTTGATGGGTTGTTAAAGAGCAAGCTATACATCTTTACAGCAGCCTGCTGTACGGATTGTCCAGTGTACAAGAACTTTAAGACATCCAGGCTATTTACCATGGCATGACAGGACCAGAAGTCCCTTTCTCCACAGCATATGCACTGAAATCCCTGACAAACTGGTTCTGAAGCAGTTTTCATAGGCTAGGATCCTAGTGCCCCACAGGTATACCGAGATCCCTAAAAGCCCCAACACTGGACCAACATTTTCAGAGCCCTCCGAACTGCTGTATATTTTCTGCAGCAGCCCAGAATTTTAGTCAAAAGGATTTGATTTCTGTCACTTCCATTAGAAGTAAAACAAGACAAAAATAATGAATAAGGACACTCTAGTTTTTGCTTCAAGCATTGATATTATTATTACTATTATTTATATTAAAACCGCAAACAATTGTACAAGTGATTTTTCTGAATTCAGAAAATGACTCCATCAGAAAGTAATCATTAGAGGTGAGGAATATCTGGTCTACTAAAGCAGACAATATTGCTATCTTAGGATATACAACGTTCAAATTCATTATCTCTAGAAACATTGCAAGGCTGTGTAAGGAAAACTTCAGGATATTTAGAGATAATTTCAAAATTATGCAGGCATGAAAATAAAGTTGCTTGTGCTTTCATAATGGCCCTGCCAGCTAGAGTTTATGGCTTAAGGCTGAAGGGTTCTCCAAGTTTTTAATCCACTAATAAAACTGAATATTAAGAATATCTTGTGAAAAATTATACAGTTGGGAATGAGTAAACAGCCTGCATACAGGGAAGAAAATTAAAAACCTTCCAAGTCTTACCAGTTGTAGATTTTTAAGTTAACTATTCTGAATATGAATTCTTCCTAGTATAATAATTATTTTTTTTTAGCAATGTTTTATTTGCATTTTTCAAACAATACTCCACTGTATTTATGCGGGAAAGTTTAAACAAACAGTGACCAAAATAGAATATATTATTTGTTATTAATAATAATTCCTACTCTCCTTTAGGGTTTTTCTCTTCTGCAACAGATAGTTATATTTCTCATAGAGATACTACATGACAGTGTGATGTAGTCCAGCCATCCCAGGTATGAAGCAGTGATATACAGTTATTGAACGCAAAATTAGCACATTACAAATGTCCCAAGATCAGAGGAAAAGGAACTTTCTTCTAAATTCATATCTGACAATTTAATATGGATGGACATGTGATTTAAAGTGTCTTCAAAATAAAAGATAAGACTATATACATTAAAAAAGGCGTGATTATTCTACAAAGTCCAGCTGCACTGTTTCCAAGTGAGTATGCGTTAATTAACACATATCAAACCCAGAAGCCCAAAGAGACCCTCACCTGTTTAGAAAGCAGTTCCCTGCAGAGAGTACACAAGGTAATAAACCTCCTGGCTAACAAGTGTGCATCAATAAACCCTTCAGCAACCAACATAATTTCAGAGATCAGTTCAACGTCAGGGACAACCATGGCACAGAGTCTGAGGAAGAAAACAAACCCCATAATCCAAATACACAGATTAGTACTTAAACAAGGTAAGAATAAGTCACTTAAATCAAATGACTGATGTGTGCAAACATTTTTAAAAACAGAGCTCGAGACAGTCACAATTAAGAGTGTCAGTCAAAGCTAACAAGGACCTTACTTCAAAGTAAAAGGAGCTAATTAGGCACTGTTGATTGTTAGTATTCAGCAACATGGCTGTACACAAAGGAGGCTGCTGAGAAACGCAGGGCTTGCAAGACAGGTACTACCCAAACTCAGAGCAGGCACAGTCTGCAGCAGAGTCACTGCCCACCAATGACTGGAGGACACTGCCAGCAGCTCTACAGGGTCCCGAAGTCAAGTGCAACACCCTGCCATTGCTAAAAAAGCCCCCATTTTTTAAAGGATTTTGATTTTTGGAGGGCTTTAATGCTTTTATATGAAGTAATGGTTTCCTTTAGAGGTTTCACTGTTTGTTTCGTTTTTAAATATAACCTTTAGTTCAAACTTTTCGAACAAAACCACTGCCACTTTAATGATATAAATTAGAAAAATCTCCAATTAAAAAATGCAACACAAAGCAATAATGCGAAGGCTAAACAATTTCCTCATTAAAAATCACTACTTAAGTTACATAGTAGCAGGGAAGACAGCTTGAATTTTGTGTTCAGGTCAGCTACAAACTAGCGAATTTGCCCCTCAGAGCACTTTTCTTACTACTGACAAATACAAAGATTTCTTTTCTTCCCCATTCATATTTAAATATGGCAGAATTAAGACCAGTGTTTTAGTCCAGCAGTATATTTCTGACAGAAATCAATAATACACAGTCTAGAAAAAGAGCAAGCATCCCTCTTTTAAACATTTTTTAAGGAAAATATTCCCTAAGAAGCATTTCTTCATAAGCCCAAACAAGGGCAGCTATATGCACTGCAGTCAATTATATAAAAATCATACGCTCTTCTACCTACCATAACCAATACCCTTCTTGCACACAGAATAACTGCTTGCACAAGAAATATCACGCTAGTCGTATTTAATGTATCTTCTCTCCCTCATGAGATTTTTATTAGGTGGCAAACACGAGGAGTTAATGCTTTACCAGTTACCTCCCGCCTTCCCTGTGCATTGTACAATGGATAACAGCTGTTACAGACATCAGCCACAGCATTAAATTTCTCAGTCCCAAATGCAGCAGTTCATACTTTAATTCCGAAGGCTTTTTATTTTATGTGACAAACAAGTAAAGGTAAGAATTCACCTCTCTGTAGCAAGTACAGTTTGAAAATTTAAAAAAAAAAAAAAAAAGCAAAAGCAAAGCAAACTATTATAAAAAGCACACCAAAGAAAGCCATAATTTGACTTCATATTTCAGTAGAAATGTTCTTAATTAATATTATTTCATATCCTTTACTCTTCTCTTCCCAAATGAAAAAAAAACAACAACAACAATAATTGTTTGCCTGTTCCATCCTCTGGCAGACCACTGAGAGATGAATCACCTGGTAGGAATGGGGAGTGATCCCTCCTGCTCTCTTGTCAAATACCACACCTACCTGACTGCAGAAGACGTGGCCACCAAGGTAGACGACTCTGTCCAAATGTAGGAAGGACGGCAGCCGCACTGCACAGACACAGGTGGATGGTGTCCCCGTCACCCTCTCCTCCCTTGTGTGACGTCCTGAACTGAGGGGCTGCCCAACATCGTTCCCTTGGTGTCCACCAATCCTGCTTTGCCTTGAAGAGATCTTAGGTAGTAATTAATGAGAAGGCATGGTAAACCAACAGGTAAGTTGTGAAATATTTTTGAATATATATATATATTTGCAGAGGCACGTGAATTCAAATCCTAACCTCCTCCTTGTAAACAGATGTTTACTTACTGTTCGTTACAAATGATTGCAATTTAGGCTCAAAGAACACGACAGCCAATTGCTGTCGCTGCCCGGTTCTGCCATTTGAAGCAGGACGTTTGGTTGGTGAGAGGATGAGAGGTGCCTGAGCAAACAGCTTTCTAACTTTAGCAGACTTTGTGTCTTTCTGTAGTGAAAGCACAAAGGAGTACGGTGTCAGGAATTCCACGGCTAAAGCAGAAATAATAAAATACACCACAAATCTTGATGTACCTTTTATTACAGAAGAAAGTAGTACCTACGTTTCAACTTGCTCACAGAGGCAACAGTGATGCCCAGTTCAGCCCTAAGTTTCTATCTTTTAAAAATCAAAGGGATTTACTGATCAGAGAAGCAGATCCCAGACAGCATGTCTATACTTGTGCCTCCCTAGACAGCCTGGCAATGCCTTGCAACTTGCCCCACTGAACTTCAATATGTTGAGAAATGAAATCACAGAATCTTTTTTTTTTTTTTTCCCCTCAAGTCTTGATTAAATCAGTGGAAAGTGTTAATGCAAGAGCAAGGATTTCAAGTGACAACTGTTTTTTCAAGCAAGCCCTGCACCATTTAAGTCAGATCATAACCACACTGTTCAAAGCACGGCTGCAAAACTCTGTCGGAATAAACTGGAGTCATTTTACTGCCCATTATGCCAGAGCCACTATTTATGGAATAAATTCACTTTCAGAAACACTATTTTCATACAAACTCACTGAGTGCAGCGTGCAAAATACAGTCAGATCTTTTAAATTCAAAACTTTCTTCTTTGAAACATTAGTGTTAAGATACAAAGCATAAATACATACTTTAAGAAAAAGATAATGGGCTGTCCTACAATGTCCAAAAGCATATGGATTTTTTTTTGCTGTGCACTATACTTTTCACTGCTCTTCAAACACACATCCAATATCTTCCTAGGTAAGAGTATATGGTGTCATTTGCAACGGGTAGTTATGAAACATCTAGGAACGCGTGCATGTCTACACCCATGGAAGAATGTGATAGCTAGACACTTATACAGACATTTTTTTTACTAGGCTAAGCCAGCTACGAGGATTCCTATTTACCACAAAACAGTGAATATTCTTGCACATATTTAGGTACATTCCATGTGTTCACAGGTACCTTTAAAATTATACATAGATTAAAAAAACCAGAAGATGTACATATAATTTCCCTTGTCATTGTGGTGGCACACACAACTTGAATACTGATTTTTTTTCCACAGAAATTCTGAAGCAAACACAAATTGAATTTCAGTGCAAATCAAGGCAAGTAACATTAAGCAACACATGTACTCTAAATGTAGACTTGATATACTCGTATAACATAAAAATACACTATAGCATACATGCCAGAACAGAGCTTTGAGTTTTTCAGGCAGTTCTGTCTGACCCGCGTATCCTGGGTTCATGGTAATAAATACTCCAACTGATGACTTCAACGTAATGTTTTCACCAAGGAATAAAAATCTGTTATAAGAAAGATAACATGACAATTTTACAGTTGGATCAGATGTAAACAACTGCATCATACAAAACCAGCCATCGTGGGTCAGAAGACAAAAGTGCCTCTGGCCTGGATCCAGTCTCACACAATGGCCAAAAACAAACGCCTAGGAAAGTTTATAAGAGCTGAGCAAACAGAGGCATTTCCTCGGTAGGTGCCAGCTTTTAGTAATCGGTGGCTCCTCTGGCTACCACTGAATTTGGAAGGAAAAGACTGGACTGTTAGAGCAACAAAGAATACACACAGCCAAAGCATGTCTACAGGAGGAATCAATTTTTAAAGCCTGTAGAATAAATGAGACCGATAGGGATGTGGTGGGTTTGAAAAGGACAGGAGGCAGCATCGAGTAAAGGAAGGAGAACATGGCACAGTGGAAACACAAGGCCTGTCTCAAAAACACTGGGAAACACTGGAATCCCTGAGACTTCTTGCAAGGTTGAACTCCACCAAACTTCTCACCCCGTACGATACAATGATTTCACATGGTGTGACTTGAACAGGACCAGAGTTTCAATGGCAGAGCTTTAACTGGATTCCTGTAGGGCCAATTCACTCACACCTATTGCTACATTTTGAAGAGGCAGTTATTTTAAGGTAGTATATTACACAGGTGATTCAACGTTCCTGTCTACTCCCTTCACTGCATTTACAAAGGGCTTCAGAGGAACTCTGGAAGAAGATTTTACTAGTTCAGTATTTATAGACTGAAAAAGACAGTAAAGAAGCACTGCTAAAATACTCACCACTTTTTCTTGTTCCTAATTGCATCATGGATAATTTTTACTATACTGCCACCACTGACAGAATTTCTACCAAGATGTGACTGAATTCATCAAAGCATCCCCAAGCTTCTGTCTGGACCAAACCTTTATAGATATTCCTTATAGACTAAAATCAAAAGTGAAAGATATAAGATCTTTTTCTTGAAAGCAACAATATCCAATGAATTCATATGAAAAAGAAATAAAACAACAATTTCCGTACTGCTTAGCAGAACATCTCACCTTGTAATCCATTTGCTCAGAACAGTTGAAGATATACACCATCATACCAAAAGCATGGCCTAGATCTTTGGTGGTCTCTGTTTTATCTGTGCTGGCTGGTCCTACAGGAGCACCGCTCATTGTTAGGTGGAGAGACTAAGCGTGAGTAATATAACACATAAACAAAAAAAAAGTGCTTGTTAGCATTGCCAGGAACATCTACAATGTCAGGAGTTTGTTTGGGGGTTTTTCAAACCTTATGTTTCATGGGAAATTTATTCTGAGTCCACGTTCTCATTATAATTTAATGTTTCATGTGCATGTAAAATCATGATGTGGCACTACTTGGAAAATGCTTATTTTAGATATGAAAACCAATCACATCGACATTTTTCAGCAAGAAGGAATATCTTATCAGTTGTCACACAGGACAAGAAACAGGTTGCTGCAGTTGCCACTTTTCAAGTTTCAAAGACTTGAGCTCCAGAATTGTCCCCCTCAGCTGAGGCTCATAAGCATTAAGCCAGACAGGATTGCTGAGTGCATCATTCTGCATCACCAATTTCGACAAGAAATTCCATTCTGGAGCGAAAACATTTCCAGAAAAAAGCTTCATTGTATGTGGTGTGAAAAAAATACTGGTTTGGACCTTCACACGTGAAAAGAAAAATACTCTTTTGCTGAAAACTCCTGATTAACCATGGTATAGATCCGCTCATATTCTTCTTCAGACTAGACACTGAATGTACACATTAAGTTATGCAAGAAATATTTCAGTTATTTTAAAAATAATGGACATTAAGATCATACCTTGGCTTCAGTATGCACACTTACCTACACACACGCTCAAAGATATTGTCTTAATAACCTTATAAAATCCATATAAGGCATGAAAGAACACTGAACTTCTACGACACGTTTAACTTTTTATTCACTGAAACAGATAAAGCAGACACTGTTATCAGTAGCAGTCATTACCTGTCAGTCAAAGGTGTAATAATGAGCCAAGGGGTATTTCCCAAGTACTCATAAAAGTACTGAAGCTGAGCATCGCAAGTGTGGCAAAACAGTGTTCCTGGGTGTCATCCCATCTGTGGGGTGGCTGTGGCAGCCAAGGAAAACCTCAGGAACTGGTGACCTAAAAAGCCATTGCAGAGCCATTCTGCCAGGTGGGAGCTGAAAGAAATGCGACCCATCACAAAGCTACAGCTGTCATCACTAGTTTTCACACCTCAACTTACGAATAATAACTACTACAACCAATTATAAAGGATTAGGCGCACCTCGAGGCATTTGTGCTTTTATACAGATGCAAATGTAATATGAGATCTTTTAAATAGAGCTATTACAGCAGAACATATCGCCACTTACTAAGCCAAGACCTCTCCTTACAAACAATGCTGTCTTTGCCTGGGAGCAGAAATTACTTTGACCAGAATGAGTTTCATTTTACTCCTCAAGCCTTGTTTCTTCTTGTCTTAATGCCATGCTAGAAACCCATTTTATTTCTGATTCTCAGGAGGTCAGTAGGAAAATGAGAATCCTTTCCCATTTCACTCCCCATCCAGTGAAAAGTTTCGTGCATTAAAACCAGCGACATGTGCCAGCCAGCTTAGTTTTACCTGAACAAAGTCATCCACAGAGAGAGCACTTCAGTTTAAATAAACACTCAAAACTGTTATTATATGCACTTATAAAGAGTCACCACAGGAGAGTAGCGCCTTGCTCTAGAGACACACATGTATGCCTCTAAAAGGAGAGCAAAACACACCGTGAACAATGGAAGACGGAATAATTAAAAGCAGAAAAACTGAAGACATTTGGAAAAATCCCTCAGGTTGCCCAAGGATTGTCTGCACTCAGTTTTGTGATCTGAAATTTAAAGGAAATATTTTGTTGCTCACAGAAAACCTACTACAATATTGAACAGCTCCCAGAAGCAGGGTAAAAGTTGACACCTGACTTTTCTTCAGGAAAATTTTAAATTCACAGGGCAATAGCTGACAAGAACATAGACACGGCACACAGCTCTGAATCAGGATGTCTGCATAACTACTACGCCTTCTGCTCCCTTGTGCCCAATGCAGATCCAGACCCAAACTCGACTTAGGTACTATTAATTCTTTTCAAATCCACTAAAACTGTGAATGTAAAATATAGTTGATCCAAACACAGGCCATCTGAGCCTCAAGGCTTGCTACTATATCTCTAGCATGAACATCTATAGTGCAAATGGTCATGATTTTCCATCAATCACCCAAGGAAAGTTCTCCAAGCAGCACAGTAATGACAGCATTTAGCTGAATGACCTGAAAAGATTTAGGTAACCATCTAAGATCAGATGGAACCCAGTATCGTCTACTGTTATTGCTACTCGAAATTAGATCTGCCTACACCATGAATTAAATCACAACAAAAACTAGCTTGTACGTACAAATGTACTGATATTAAACCTCAGGTGCCAGAATAAATCCTGGTTTAAACAAACATTTCAATTGCCTCCAAGACAATGACAATCCACAAATACCGAACGTGGCCAAGGCAGGGTAGGAAGAATGGAAGGAGGAAGAGATTTACATGAGGTTGAATTGGTAAATTTTGAGGTTACTATCTCCATAGAGATATGCAACAGACTCCACAAAACTTGTGGAACTAACTGCTTGAGAACATTTATTGCCAAACTGTTTGAAAATACACCTTAGGAAAGATGACATTTTAAAAACAGGCGAAGTAACGAAGGGAAGATTACAAAATATGATATGAATTTATTATACAGAGTTATATAGTAGAAACACCCTATGGAATTTTTCAGGTTTCAATAGGAAAGAAAGGTGTAGACAGCTAGTGCATGCAATTTTAAGGAGGCAAATATAACTAACTTTAATAGAAAGATATAGTTTATTGGTTAGCTAGTGTGAGACAGAACTATGCTTGTACATGTTTTAAAACTCCAGCTTAAAAATGGGCAGTGAATTAGTAAGAACTCAAACACTACACTTTCTCTATTATTTTTATATAATAGACAAAAACACCTACTGGAGCTGTTTTTACTAAGACAGAGTTAAAGCCCTAGAATGTAATACTCCATGCAAACAAGTTGTTTGAGAATCATTGTCTATGCCCTAATAGATTTTGAAAATGATTACAACAAAAATATAACCAGCAGGTAATTTCACCAGGCTTCGTATTTTTTTGTATCATACCATCAATAGCAACGTTTTGAATGGAATTGTCAGGCATACTGAAATATTTCTGGCACCTTCCTCTAAACGCACCCAACGCTCCACCTCTTTACGGCAGTGAGCTTCCATCTGCAGAGAAGTCCAGATGATCTTTCCTAGTCCATCCTTTTACAGCAGAATCAGTCCAAAGTCCCCACCAGGTTACGCCATCGGGAAGCAGCAACAGCATAAGACAGTGGTCTGCTCTGCTTGCAAAGTGACCATAGAAACACAGCCTGCCTGGGTCACATGGAGCTTCGTCATGGATCCGTCTCTGCTTTTCACAGAAGCTAGCAGAGATTTTTTTTCTTTAAAAAAAAAAAAAACAACAACAAAAACCCCAAAACCAACAAAAGGCATGTAAAAAACGAGTCCAGGAGATGGATATCCTGGGAATGTATGGCACAATTTGGCACAGACACATCAGCCAGAATCCACTGAGCAAAAAAAAACCCAAACTCAACAACCCAACAAAACCAAACCCTCAAAACCACACCGCCTATTTTATCATTATATTTAACAGTAATGAACTCGACTGATATTTGGCTAACCCTTCATTTGACTTTATTTTGTTACACTTCAATCATTCTGTAGCCAAAAGTTCCATATTTTAAACTGTACACTGTGTGAAAGTACTTCTTTTGTTTAAAGTCTGTTACTTAATGGCTTCAGGTAGTGCCTATTAAAGGTCTTGTATTATGAGAAACGGAAAACAAAGATTAATCTTTATCCACCTCTATCAGATTTCCCCCCCCTCCTTAGAAGTCTCCTTCCTATTTCATATTTCCCTTCGGCAGATTTTCTAGGTTGGAAAAGAAAACCAAAACTACTTAAAGTTTTCACAAAGAGCAGCAATACTCACACTAGAACAGAAACATTCAAAAGAAGCTGGAGGCAACCAAGGGTGAAGAAAAAAAAAAAAAAGGTCAAACTACAGAAGGTACCCTTCTGAAGTGGGACTAAAACAAAAAATACTAGAAGTAAACTGTTTGGTTTGACACAAATAAAACAAACAGTTTTGGCTTCCTTACAGAAATACAGGCATTTGGAATTTTTATATGTACTGGTTGCATACTCTGTTCTTGTCATACCATCATGGTTGATGTTTGGCAGTATCTTTGCTTTTACCTTTCATCTCAGTTCCGAATAAACCTACAGAAACCCCAGTAATTAAGATGTGATAACAATGCCCACGAGAAAACAGAAATGGAAGCAAAAGTTGTATTATTTTTTTCATTAGGTGCTGATAGCAGCTAATTTACTACAGGACTAAAATTACTAGATATGCCACTCATCTCTTTTTATGAGACCATTCTCACTCTGTACTTATTTTCACTGCATTAAACAAAAAGAAGATATCCATACCCACTTCTTGCGGCAATCCTTCAGGGCTGATGCCAAGCCCTCTTCTAGCCTGCCGAATGCCATTGCAACATCTGAAACCCACCAGATTTGTGAACCATTAAGTGCAACCTGGGCTGGGTAGTCAAAACCCCACTGTTCTCTCTGCTTCCCCTCATAGGCCGGTATCGTCTCCATGATGTGGAGATGCACTGTTTGGTGTACAGTTTCCTCAGGGTGTTGCAACCAAGACTCTACCTTTTGGAGCAAAAAACCCAAACATGCATAAATTTATGCATGTAACAGAAATGGTACCAATATAGGAAGCTCATCTCATTAATCTTTACAAAGATTTACAAACTTGAACTGAGAGTGGTTTGTGGGTTTTTTTCCTTCCATTTTCTCTCTCCTACTGCCTCTTCAGTAGGATTTAGTTCAGAGGAGCCCTTCCCAATTACTGAGATACCAGACATTGGTTTGGTTTACATATCCATTTGGTTTACATATCCATTTGACTTAAACACACAGACATACTGTCTTAGAGCTCCAAATACGAAAGTCTGAAGTTTTACCCTGTGTCTGCAGAACAACAAACACAGACAACACAGTCTTTCCTATGTCTCTATGCACTCAAATGTAGCCGTATCTTGCAGAAACTATCTCCAAGAGGCAAGCTGCATATATTTGCCCATTCAGTCTGGGGCCTCCCTGCTGAGGCAATCAATCATTAGAACCACATGCAACATTGATTTTATGCAATGTGAATGCTTATCCATTCAGCGCTGTTCTGAGAACAATAAGTTATTGTCTCAGAAGCTGCTGATGTGTTCTTTCTGGCCTACCACTACCCAGTTAGCACGCATACTGGCTGGCCAATTAGCAAATACGAGGTTCAAAACCAGCTAAAACCCTGTTCGGCTGATAGGGGACATGGGAGAGAGCTGGAGGTCTGGAGAGGCGTGTGCTAAAGGATAAGAGAGGAAGGGATCTGAAAGTATAATGGAAGATGAAATAGAAGAGCAGAAGAGAGGAAGTATGAGAAATGCAACATTCAACCATAGGCTTCATCAGTTCTATGGGTTTTAGTACATTTTTTTTTTTCATTGCTCTTTAAGACTTAACTCGCTACACTTAGAAAAACCAACTTACATACAAGGGGTAGCTAGAAAATTTATTAAATTATTAGTTTATTACACAGTTTTGGGCCACAAAATGTTTTGAAATTTGGAAAAATGGTTCAAAGGCATTTTTATTATTATTTTTTTTTCTAAATTTACATTTTAAAAAGCAGTATTTCATGCCATTGAAAGTGTCTATTTAAACTACATCCCAAACAGGGCAAAATCTGTGAAGGAAATTTCACATAACTCAGCATACCTGACCACTGCATCCACACCCTTCGTAGAAGGCAACACGCTCCTCCCCTCTGCTGTACATCTCAAGGGCAATATTCACAGATTCCTCTACGTTGTCTTGAAAATTAACATCAGCAATGTTGTCAAAAAGTTTGATAGGATGTGATGGGTCACCTGCACCCCAAAATACCAGACATATAAGAAAACCATTTACTTTTGATTTGTGTCAATCACACTACTTTACGGCATTTTTCTATTAAAGTGGATGAGTACCATTTGTTATACACAGTAAGATTTTGTGGTTCGGCAAAATTCAACACAGTTTTTAGCAACTAACTGGGTAACATGAAGTCTTTGCACTAATCTTACTACTGTGTTTCTTACTCTAATGCTGTCAGCACATAGTCTTCCATTGACCTTAGCAGGTAAGATGCACTGAATCACCAGGTGATTAATCAACATTTCATTCTTAAGTTTTAAAGACAATAAAAAAATTAAAACCCAGTTTTTTCCACCGTATTAGAACACTTGTGCCAACTGAACAAATAATAAGAGTACTTCTGATTTCCCTGGTGGTGCAAACTGACAAGGCGATGTTATCTGACTGTCGCACGATCACTACACAGGAGATTTTTATGGGAAAAGCTGGGGGGAAAATGGTCACAGCTAAAGTAGTGGCTAGAGTTAATTATTGTCAGTTATCAGAAGAGTCTGAAGGACAAAGATGTCTCAATATAAAACTGAGAAGTCTTGAAATTGTGATTTATTATGGCTAGTGCTTATTTCACAAATTGTCGATTCAGGTGTAAATGCCTTGTGTAACTACACACCTCTCCAAAGACCATGGGGGTTGAAGATTACCGTCTTCAGCACACTCTACGCTTGACAACCAGAAGGGAAGAATTGTTTGGTCGCTCTTCTTACATGTGGCATAGAGCAATGCATGGATGAAACAACTCACTGAGATTTAGTTCTGTGAAGAAGCTACGAGACTCTGTCATCATCTCTGAAAAGGCAGTGCTCAAGCCTCACAAGCCCTTCATCCTCTTGGAAAGTATCAGTTCTCCTGCTACATGTCACATCACATCTAAAAAGGCTTCACCTGAGACACACCAATAACTGTAGCACTCAGAGAATTAATGGCCCTGGCAGGATAGTCACTGAGGCCAGGAGTATCATCTGGCATGTAGATAACATAGTATAAAGCTTCTGAAATACGTCAAAGTGCCTGCATTTTTATACAAATTGGTCTCAAAGTGTCACAAAACCTAGCAGATTATTATTCAAGGGAGGAAAACAGAAGGACAGCTACAACAACATTCCTCGTACAATGGTCAGCAGCTCAGTCAGTAACAGCCTAACAGAGACTATAGACCTTTCAGTCTTACTTATCATCACCACGCATAGCCTGCCTGAAATTTGATCAATCCATGCCACAAAGAGAATAGATTTGATGATCTCATTGACCTTTTCGCTTTCTAATTCCTGCAAACCTACAATCCCCAAATCCAAATAAATGCAAATTGCACACGGCTAACTTTCCAGCAAGACAGCACAGGATTTGTAACACTTCTCAGAATGATGGTTTCACCTCTCCTTGCTGAACACCTTGTACTTGTCCTAGCTGGGGGAAAAATGTTTACTACCTTCCTTACACAAAGTGTTCCTATTTGTAAAGTAAATTAACACTCAGAAACAAAGGTGCAGTTCTACGCTACTATCATGTACTACTACTACTACTACTCACATGGCTAGCTGGAAAACTTGTTTTTCTGTAGACAAAATGAAGTACAATACCATGCAAGGAGGTTCACCTGTTTGGGCTGTGTTCCTTTTGAAAGGATGTCTAGCAAGTCTGCTGAAGAAACAAAACAGAAATGAGGAAAAGCAATGCACTTGGTTTCTAAATATTCAGCCAGAGCTTTTTCACAAAGAGAAAGTCTGAAAAGAAGACAGACTTTAATGACACATGCATTTAATCACCCTAACACCAAGAATTACCTCCCAGTTAGAGAAGAAATCAGACCAAACAGTAAAACAGAACAATACAATCCACTTTTAATTTAAAGTGGTAACAATGAATACAGCTGTAAGGAACAAAGAAGGTGAGAAACCTTACACGTTTCCTTTCTAGAAACTGAAACAGAACGTGCTCTTTTTATTCATTCCGACCAAGGAACCCAAGAGGACTTGTGCCAGAAAAGTCCCTGAAAAGATACGTTTGGCTAAGCAGAAACTCCCCTTCAACCTTCCAGAGTCCAGCCTTAGAAAGTAAGGGACAAGAACAAAAATTTCTTACTTGACAGGGCACTTATTTGCAGATAAAAAAATAAATAACAAAAAAACCCAACCCAAAAGCTAAGAACCAGACTAATAGTGGAGAAAGGTAACCACTTCTCTTAAGATGCACACGTTTTCTTTTATGTATGAATGACACCATCATGTGTTTTCATGTTTGTTATTGACACAAAAAGTATTAAGAGTCAAAATACTCAATTACATGCCTATCTGGAGAAGAAAAAAAGCCCCACATTTATTTATGTGTGTTTGATGCACTTCAGCTATTAGCTTGGTATCTCTCATAACAAAAGTGACATAGCAAAAAACGGGTTTGTGGGCTGTTTTGGGTGGGTTTTTTTATTGTTTGGTTTTGTTTTTTTTATTTCTTTTTAAACTTCCTACAACCTTTTTCTGCAAGGAGAAACAGGCTGTGACTCCAAACGTCGCTGTCCCTACAGGCAAGAAGAGTGAATGTCAGTTGGAAGTTCACGGCAGACCTTTAAGTGTGTTGAAGGAGGTACCTTTGCTGTACACAATTCCCTATCTCCTTTTCTAAGTCTGAAAGGAAGACACCCAGCTCCCAGGTTGTGGATGGGGAGGAAATGAATTTGATCCAAACTGAAGATATTTTTAAGACCTTTGACAATTTTCACATCATGTAATTCATTAATAATGAACCAACGCCTCAAACATAACCGACCATATAAAAAGCACTGAAAGTCCAATATGTCAAATAGAAACAAATGACAAAAATATTATCATCAGATCATCTCATGCCTATACAAAAAGGAAATGTGACTTTACAGCTCTCATTTCCTGACTGTTCCAGAATTACACTTTAGAACAATTAACAATCATACTGGAAATTTTACCTGTGCTGCAAAGCTTCAGATTTTCCATACAGCTTTGGCTTGGTTGCACCTTCCATCACATTTTTTATGTTTGCTCTGTCACTCACCAACCACTGTACAGAAGTGCAAGGAAGTTATTGCAACATGTGGAATTCCCCTCAGATTTTTTTTCTATTTCATACCGTTTGTTATACTGGGACAAGGAAAGCACCGGGGAAGAGAGCTGCAAGAAAGCACCTCATCAGTGTGCTTTTAGGTTCTATTTCTTAAACAGCAAATGAAAAAAAAAAAATCCACAAACACCTATTTTGACAGTGTTTAGACTGAACATGAAGGAAATGTAAAATGAACAGATAGAACTGCACTGGAGGAAAGCAAATACCACTAATTATACTATTAGATCTCTTCTAAGAAGATAAAAATGACAGATCGTAAGAGAAGCATAAACTTGTACAATAATTCTGCTCATGTGTGCAAGCCTAATTCCTTTTTCAACATGGACCATGAAGAAACTCGTGCATGTTAAGCATCATGAATAATTTCATCATTCTTAACAGGGTTCTCAACTCATACAAAGGTGTGAATATAGATATTATCTTTTTGGGGCATATATTTAGACATGGTGCTGCCCACATTGTTTAAATTGCAGACTTAAACCAATTAGAGTTTTCTTAGAAATTTTAAACGTAGAACCTCCTTATAGAACATTATCATACCTTAGCTTTTCAGAACTGTACACAATGAGAACTTTCCCTTGCATACATGGATTGAATTATAAATATATTGATCACACACAAGTCATCCTCTTTACTAAGCAAGGGTTCAGTGACTTTTTTTGGTCAGAACGAACAATTAAGACATGATATTTTGTGCAAGATCAAATGTTTACATTGATTGCTGTAATTAACTTTGGCCAATAATAAGTAAGGGACCATAAACTTGTATTTCAGCTGTCACTGTCCTAAATGATACGGCAAGATTTCTGTAACTCAGAAGTATTGTATTTCTATGTGACTCCAGGAGGTTAAAAAGCTAACTAAGCGCAAACAAAAGAAGATCTTAAAGTCATGACCTGCAGAACTTTATAAGAAATCATGTTTTGTGGCAATGCATCAACCAGCAGTTGCCAGTCCACACAAAAGGAAAACAAGGCAAATAATTAATTAAATTTTAATTATAAAGAATGCAAAATCCACTTCTGATATTCTCCCAAGTAAGACCAAGATTCTTGTAATAACGTTAATCCAGTGGGTTAGAAACAAGCTTATCAAAGAAAGACTCAAACTAAATTGTCAATATGGTATTATTTAAAAAATATACTTAATTACCCACTCTAAATAATTCAAATGCAAGATATAAATGGACATAAAACACTAACTCTACTAGCTTTGAATTTTCTACTGATTTCATCAAATCTCTGCATCTTCAGGTATCTGGCTTCTGATATCTTCAGAGCCAGCAAAAATACTTTCTAGATGAGACCATGTGCATTGAACTTCCATCCAAATGGAAATGACAGAATATGCCATGTTTAAATTATTTTGCCAACCTTTCACTCCTTAGTGAAATATGCCACCTATTTACTTTTCAGAATCATTTGCAGCTGAACCTAGAAAAACTTCACTAATCAAAATAATTTATCAAACAGAGGAACTAGAGCTAATAAGAGTTTAACAAATTCTCCCGTAACTTGTTATTATCGCATATCATATCAGAAGACATCTTTAAACACTGCAAATGGACAGCATATTATTAAATGATTTAAAAAAAATAAATCTAAGAAAGTATAAGCTTAGAAAGCTGTAATTTTGTAAACTCCTACATGGAGGCAGGAATATTTTTAGAGTATGTACAGTTACATATCATGCATATAATTTCCCAGGACTAACATCTGGAGAAAACATAACTCTGCAATAAAGATTCAGGAAAAAAGTGTTAACTACCCAAGTGTATTAAGGGAGTGAACAATATTGATATACTAATAGTATTTCTATTAATAAAATCCTTACTTGATTGTTATCTAAAGTTTCAAGCCGCTGTTCACCTGACTTTATTAAAGGAGATCCATTCCTGTGATGCTCTTTGTAAGAAAATTCCATGGCAGCCCATGTTTGGCTGATTCCTGCCAAAATCTGGGAACAAGAAGAGTGGTAATAACATCTTCCTACACATATCACATTTCATATTTTGAGTTAAGAGCTTTTAATTAAATTACATTTAATTCACCGTGATGGTAAACTATACCACAGACAACAAGTGAGTTTCACTAGGCTGTGAATTTTGCTCCCTAGGTAAGTCACAGGAAAATATTCACTTCTATAATTAATTTCTTGAAACAAAACTTCATCAAACAAATAGCTTGTTACATACTATTTTGCAAAAACAGAAGGAAAAAACAGCCCAGCCACTTCTCACCTTTTCAGTACCCAACTCTTTCACAGCATTGTCAACTATACTTTGGACTTCATCTTCTACTTTATGAAGCTGGAGTCCCAGAGGGTCTGTCAAGGTAGCATCTTCCGCTAGTAAAAGCCTGACCTATAAAGCAAAGAGACAGCAGAGAGCTAAATAAGTAAATGAATAAGAAAAATCAGACACAAGCATACAACAAACTGTTCAAATGGAATCCAAGTTAAAAACAATGAAATTATTCACTAGAAAACTCTAGATACTGGATATACTTTCAGGTTTGCACCAGAACTGTAAACTTGATCTGCCTAGATGAAATATTTCTTGATGCTGTTACTGGTTTTCGTTGATTCATCTTGTACTGTGACATATTGTGCATCATAACACTAAAAGGCATGTTTATTTACACAGCTGCCATTGAAATTGATGTAAGCTACAGAAACAGTATTTGCACACTACAAATTTTGGGGAGCGGTGGGGTTATTTACCATATTTTGTTACAGCTTTGTAAAGCATAAATTAAAAAAAAAAATTAAAATTTTAATCAAGGCTTGGTTTTGAAAAGACAACAGTTGATAACTTTTTTATTTTTTGTTAAAAAAATTACAAAAGTTTTGTGCTAGGTCTGTTTAGGACCTTTCTGCATTAACAATAATTTAAAAGATGCTTTTATTAAAACTGTATGTGAAAAATGGCTGGTATATTAGAATAGACTAGAAACATTCTATTATGCTCACTCTCCTGTGTTTTTCTTTCAGCATATCAGTTTTCTTCATTTTAAAAATGACTGAAAATTGAACTTCAATTTTTTTTCCAGAATGGTTAAAAAAAAATTTATTCAAATTTTTAAAACCAACAACTGGTCCATGTTATACACTAGGAACCAAACCACTGGGATTCTCTTTGAGAAATTAAAATAACTACTTTTTTGTTGTTGTTGTTCATATGACCTTCTTTGGTTTTCCAGCTATATGATCAACAGTTGGGTAAAACATATACATCTCTCCCCCTTCTGACACCATACTTTTTTTTTTTAAACTATTGTCAGGTCAGCAGTCTCCCTGTGTACTATTTTTTTTAAAAAAATTACTACTAGGCTGATATTTCAGGTGGCCTTTCTTTCCTTACCCATTTCCCTCTGCCCATCATTTCGTCTGTTCACTATTAAGAAACATTCTCTTTTGCTATCCAGGAATGTATCTAGCCACATTGCTTGTTTTTCTTATAAATATTTGATAGAAATTATTACTGGGAAGTATTCTCCCAACCCAGACAAGACAGAGAACCTTTCAAGCTTAGTGCTATTTTCAGGCTCCGCAGGGAGACAGCCAGGTATGGAAGAACCCTGTCATTTAGCAAGCCAGGTCTGCCTTCAGACATTTGGGTCCTTTTGTCTGAGCAGAGACCACAAATTTACTTCTCAACCCACAAGATACCTTTGTCTGAAACCTAAACCTCCGCTCCACTTACACGTTGAATAGTTGGCAGCAGTGGCTCTACAACACGCCTGATGGTACTGCTGCATTTATAGGTAGAGCATAAAAGACCATCACTGGGGTTTCTTTGGCTGAATACTTACTCTTGTCACCTCCATGACCTGGTACCAGCGTCTTTCTCTGACTGCAGGATTTGACAACTCCAATATTGTTCTCAGCAATGACATCAGATTCTTCATCTTTAACTCCAAGTCCCTATATACGTCCCAGGAGCGAACTTTTTTATCCAAAGACTGCATTTCCTAAGGAATAGGATTAAAATAATTGTAATAATTACTTGCCATGACCAGCCACCTTGTTGATAACTTTAAGAAACATTTAGGAGGTTTGTCAGAAAACTCTATTTTCCTGTTTCACATGTGCATGTGTGGGAGAGCTGTAGTTGGCACAAGTCTAGGAAAGATTTTATTAGGGTCATTGGTTTACGTGGCAGATAAAGCAAAGGCTCTGGAAATGTACTTTCCAGTATGGCACTTTAAGTAATGTAAGTGTATTAACACTGCATTTACACAGTGATTCTGTGATTACAGTTGGACCTGAGCCATTTACTTTACCACAGCCCTGACGATTAAAGTCTAGTTTTATTATTAATTATTTCACTGCAGATAAAAGTATTCATAAATTTAATACATTTAAAGCCACCATTCAGAAGGGTAAGGGAGACTGCCTATAGTCTGGGGGCCTTTGCTGCTACTTTTGCTTCATACTTCCCTTGTCCCTTTGGAACTGTCTTCTGCAGGGCTACCATCAACAAAACGCTGCGTATACTTCAAGCAAAGGAAGTGCCCTCCCTTTAAAAATGAGCATCTTTGCTGCAACTCCCAACACTCTAGAGCTATGTCTAAGAGCAGAGCAGATAAATCCCTGCAAATTCCACCCGTCTCTAAAAATAATGACTTTCTTCTGTCATAAAACCCCACCTTCTTTATTCTTTCACATACTGCCTCAATTCAGATCAGTGACAGCACGGTTTGACCACGTACGTCCACAGGGACTGGAAACTTACCCTGAAGAGTAAAGTTTTAAAGAAAAGCCCCCAAAACAACCCATGTTCCAGTACATTCAGTTTGGACACGAGTAACAAATCCACTGAAACGTCATAGAGGGTGGGAAGAGTGAGGAAGGGGTGGCACTGAGACAGATAAATTGCAGAAAGAGACAGCTATGGATCCTGCCTTGACAAACCTTCTGAGCTCCACATCCCATCTGTTCCACATTAATCTGTCTCCACTGGGTTTTAGCCCGATCATCAATGCTGCTCTGAAACAGAACGTACAGATAAAAGTGTCAACAACATTTGGTAAAGACAAGCTTCTGCTATATAACAGATGAATGGATGCAGGGGAAAGCCCATCACACCGCAATAGCTCCTGGACCTTATTTTTTTCCAACCCTCCACCACCACTACCTGGAAAGCATACAAAATAATCTATCTGCTCAAAATTCAACCCAAAAGCCAAGCATTTAAACAGTTTCAATACTTCCGTTTCTGAGAGGTACACATACATACCATTCTTGCGCTATTAAACACACACCTATACCCACTGATAATATACAGATGCACCTGGGAGACGTGGGGGAAACTGCCCTCCACACCCTCCTGGCAAAACAACTGCTAGGCAAACAATAACGGAAAGAAAATCTAGCACATATATTTTTAACCTTGCCTACCAAAAACACCTTCTTCAGGTAAACAGAACTTTACAAGGCTGATTTCCCATACAAGTCTGCACACTGACTTTCCTGGACTCTTGCTTCCAGCCATCTACAGCTTTCCAGAGTACAATCCTCAGTTCTGAAGTGGAATTTTCTGGCTTTCTGAATTTTTACTCAATTATTTTAGTTATTCAAGGTAGTTACTGGTATTAAAAAAAGCTCAAAAGGAAACTACAACTGTTGTTTCACTTTGGGATTATCTTGAAATCAGTTAACTTGAGAACACAGGGATATTTTTACTCTGGGTATCGTAAAATGCAGCAACTATAATTTCAAGAACAAAAGGAATATGAAAATCTTCAGTATTTTATTTTTTTTAAAAATCAAAACTATAAGCACTTCTAGGAACAAATTAAGAGTATAACACCCAGAATATATTCTAACTTTATAATACCTTTTAAAAAAAGATCATCTTACATTAATATAAACACTAACATCCCAAAGTCTCTTAGGCAGCTGCACTTCTTTTCCACATTGTTTCCTTTGCTTGTAGTCTGGAATAGCTACTTCAAATAGTTTTGCAGATTCCTGCATTAGTAATATTTCCTTTTCTACCATCTCAAGGTCTTGATTTGCCTTAAAGAGGAAAAAAGCATTCAATAAAGTACAGTTATAGGGTATAATAAGCTTATCTAAACCTGGCAGTGAAATGTATACAACCTGTATACCTGATTCAATATAAGAAAAGCTGAGAGCTGTTACTGCAAAGAAGTTAAAAAGCTACATTTGCATTGTCTATGAAAGCACCCAAAAGGCATACCAAGCACTCTACGTTTGAACCATAAAAAGAAAAACTGCAGGCGATTCTCTTGACTTATTAAATCACTTCTCCTTACTTTAAAGTTGTATAAATGCTAACAAAGTTCCTTCACTATGTTTTAAAAAGATGCACTAAATATTCCACTATTGACTACTCCTTTCAAGAGCACATTATGGTGACTTTTTAAAAGAACATGAATAAAGAACATGTGCAAGAATTGTGAACTTATTTTATCAGCAAGCATATGCACCAGTGGAAGAGAAACAAGGGAAACTTAGATTTGGTGGTGACTTTTAAAATTTAGCCCTTGATATTTAACTGTTATAATTCTAACAGCTTCTTAAAAACAAACAAACAAACAAACAAAAACCAAACAAAAAACCCCACCCCAACCCACAAACCACAAATATTTTGATATGTACATCAAAATATCACTACATTTAGTACTGAAAGATAAAAAGCAAATATGCATTTTCAGCATCAAACTGAAAGGAAGCTTCCATTGTAAATCTTTCTCTGAATTCGACCTGCTTCCCCTGACAAAACACGGGTAATGACACCTGTCACTCATCATGTTCTCATAAAAAAAAACCCCACAGATAAAAAAAGACTGATCACTGAATCTAATGTACATCAGATTAAGTGCATTTCCTTCTGATAACTGCAGCCTTAGATGCCTGAAGAGGACTTACTTTGCTCTTTATTGACACAGCTCTCTTCTTAACAACATTCTGTTTTCCAGCCAATTCCTATTTAACAGAGAAAAAAATACCTTGGAGGAAAAATATCACACACAGCAGAAGTATGTCAATTAAATTTGTACATTAACAGTGAGGATACCCCAACATCTGCCTATAAATAGGAAATTATAGTGGTGGATTTATTTAACCACAAACTATACTCTGTGTCACAGTTTTTACTAGAATTTTTGTCAACTGTGAAATAATTACTTTTATGGATCATTGGTAATCATAAACTACTTGAACCTAATGAACTCAGTTATTTTATGTATGATCACGTAAAACTTGTTTCACAATTACTGGGGAATCTTCCACACAGTAAAATAGAGAGCTCCACTCCTGCTGCCTTAATACTTAACGTATTTTCAAGTATATAAAGCTGAACTGGAAATAGCTTTCTCATTCAACAAACCTCCCAGAGATCTCTAGAAAAACCAGTCACTAAACCATTCAGAAAAACCCGTTCCATCACGATGACAAAAAAATACCTTGATAGATTTTTTTTTTTTGGCCTGTCAAAAGAAAGTACAAGAAAGAGAAGCCTGAAGCCAAGTCAATTCAAAGTAACTAGAAGACTAGTTTAGGGTATACATCAAAAATCCTACATTTATTTTCCCAGCCAACCCCTTGATCTGGTTTGGACCAGACAGACACAGAAACAGAAATTCCACTGTTGACTGGAAAATTCACTGGCATGGGTGAGTTTGCATTTTGAACCACCTTTCAAAAATTTCTGAGTCTTCAAAGTTGCTTATCTGAACATAAAGATTTTCACAGATGTCAAATAGAGCAGAAGAGAGAGAAATAAATGAAATCAATCAAGTTCGAAGGCAAAGAAATAAACGCATATGCTCCTCCAACTTCCCCCCCGCACTAAATAGCCAATTACTAAGACTAGTGGTTTTCTTGCCTGCTCTTTAAACAGTTTAATAGTGGGAGGCTGTTGAGAGACTTCATCAGTAAGAGGCATCTTTGTGGATTCCAAACCACGACCACAGAGAAGGAATTGCTTCATGAACTCAGACCTGTTCTCCAGCCAGAGATGCATCGCTACCAAGAGATCTCCTGTCCTCCAGGGCCTTGTTGGTAACATTTGCCACTCTCTCCATAATCTCCTGCCTGATTTCAGACAGATCAAACATGTCCATATCATTCTAGGCATCAAAAGAAAAGCTTTGTTATTTCAGTCAGTGAGACACTAATACCAATTGGTTAAATTTACATGCAGATGAAAGACTGGAATTCCACCCCGTTTCCCCAGAGATCTATGAACAAGAAAAATTACAATTCACTCAGCTGTTCCTACTTTGGGTTTACATTTCGTTACATGAACACATGAAACCAAACTGAATGCATATCCTTTGCAAATTTTTCAAAGCTGAATTTTTCATGGACTATGTATCATTTTGATCACCAGTTTAGTGGATACTCCTTAACTTGTCTAAGAGATTAAGTTTCCACTATGTGCAGATTTACAGACTTCACCATGGCACCCAAGGTGGAAGCCCACAGCATAGGAACAGAGAAATAAATACTCAGCTAACCTAAATTAGCTTTGTGTAAAACAGACAATTTCATTCTGCTGCTCACAGATGCAGAATTGGGTGAAAGCACCAGTAAACCTTCAGAAATTACTGGGACTATGCCTCTAGAAACTGCACAACTGAGAAAAGAGATGAGGCTCAGGATTTGAAGACTGATGCTATTAAATGAGTCTGCAACTAAAAATAAACTTCTTGCAGCTTACAATTAATTGGATTCATTATTTCCCAACTGTGTGAGCTGACTCGGGCAGGACACGGGAACAACCGCAAAACCATGGATGAAAGACAAAGAACAAATTTCATCTCAATACCTCACAAATCGGGGAATCTCCAAAGTGACACCTGGGCAGAGGGAGGCGAGCAGGGCACGCAGGCACTACAGGGCAGGAGAAAGTCCTTGTTAGCCGGAGCGTGTGAGCTCCGACTTGCTGTTCTCGCCTGTTTTTCAAGGGTTCAAGCAGGCATAGTTTTCCACTCTGCTTTGATCTTCTTCTTCAACAAGGCAGTGATCTCCCGTATGCTAGATAAGGTGTCCCTGAGTCTATCCCAGGCTTACGTTATCTAAGTGCAGATGTTCTACTTGCGAGCACACAAGGCTGAAGAACAATTAGTGTGTGTTGTCCAGCACCCCAGGTGCGAGTCACTTGAGTGTGTTTACAATCCTCCTCGCCAATCTTCTGTTATTTTCCCACACCAACACAAGAGAAGAAGCTGTACCTGGTAATGTTCTCATCCCAGGTGTGCTGCTACCCTTTTCACCTGGGCAGACGTTCAGAAAACACCACGCAGGAGTTCATCTACTAGATCATAAGAGCCATCACCAGCCTCTTTCTCTAGAGAAGGTTTAAATTCAATCTCTGTCATAATTTGTGCTTGAAAAAGTGGAGTCGGTTTCAAACTTTCTTCTGTGTTCTCAAAAAATAAGTATAAAGAACACATTATGGTGTTGTATAAACCATCGACCACAATGTCATCAATATACTCTATATACTCTTCCAAGAGGCTGAGGAGGAATCTGCTTGAAAAAGCTTTTAATTGCCCTAAATAAGCAAGCAAAGAAAAAAACAACTGAAAAGTACTTTAATAAATGGTTGTGTTAATGTATATCTTCACTCAGTACGCCTCCTTGTTTCAGTATTATTTTATATGTTTTATATAATTGATGTATATCGCAAAACAACACTCTAATATTGCTTGTATGCTCCTGGACCTTACTTTGGTCAGTGCAGAAGAGTCCTGAACCTCCCTGGAATTGCATTTACACTAGCAAAACTCAGTGCAGGGGTGAAGGTATCCCTGCATTGAAAAGACTACGGGTTGGCAGAAAACTATTATACAACACAGTAACTTTGATGGAATATCCACATTTTGTAAGAATACTTCTGCATCTTTGTTCTGCATTCCAGTATCAACCCTTGTTATAGTTAACTAAATATTAAAAAAACCCCACCTTATTATGATCTTTTAAAATAAATATCTATAGTACAGACAATAATACAAATAAAATTAGGAGTGAAACTGAACTAAAAGGTAGTCATCAGATGGTAACACTAAGATTAACATTGATAATGGACACAAAAATTTGTTGTAGTAGACACAGAGGCAGGTCCCTCAAAAAATTAGCAAAAATGGGGCAAAGAGACAAAAACCCCTGCTTCTGCATTCACGTCTTATTCAAATTCCTTCAATTCTGTCACTTGTAGTCATGTAACACAGCAGTTCATATTTAAGGCTATTATAATTGGCTTTAGCATTCATAAGTAAACTGGTGAATTATCTGTTGTATATTTTTAATTACACATATAATGAAACAATAGTCACATTTCAAATCAGAACTATTTCACAGTATCTCTAGTGCAAAAAAAGTGTTTCAGGACAGTTTCTCCAGCTGCATAAATCACTTTACCCGTGGGGATCACAGGAACAACATAGATCAGGGTAACAAAAACGAGACAGCAGCACTATCACGACTGCAGCCTGCCAGTCATTCCCAATCTACCAACTTTTAAAAGCGCTAATGTTCTTTTTGAATGTTGCCAAAATTGTTCTCTCTTCTCCCTATTTGTCTTCAAATGTCAGTCCTAATGAAATTTTACGTAGTTTGCGCAATTACACAAATAATTGAACAAAAACATACAGGTGACCACGTGTTAATATTCAAATATTTAACACCAATATTACCACATGGAAGTACAGAGCTCACTTGGCCATCACCTCAACAAGATGATGGATCTGGTAGCTATCTTCTTGCAGCATTTTGTGTATTTTAGCGAGTCTTTCTCCTTTGTCATCCAGGTATAATAGAGTTTCTTTTTTACCTTTCCTGAAAAAGAGGGCATGTTCCATCCAAGCATTCACAATTCCCTGGATTGATCTAATGTCGTCCTTTGATTGCTGAACTCTCTGCTCCAAATCACGCAACGCCATTTTCACTTGTTTGATGCAGTCCCAGCAGGTTGTCGCCTGCCACGTGGATATTTCTTCTGCTTCTTTTAGCAGGCTGTCAATAGTTCTCAGCTCTTTTTTCAATCAGAGGATACTCCACCTTCAGAGCAGTCTGCATTAGTCTGTCGTACAGCTTAGTGACAAGTTCAAGGTCATGGGAAAGACATGCACAGGACGAAATCCCCCTAATGTCCCACATGTGTTCTGCTGGGCAGAACAGCTATTAGAGGAAGGTGTCCAGACTATGAAAAGGAAACCATGTAGACCTTGAACATCTCAAAACAGACCAGACTGCCGGGTAGAAGGCAAGCTTTGGGAAGGCAACTGGATCCAGTGTCTGGAAGGTCCAGACTGGCAGTGCTACCAGGTATCTAATGCTCAGCTGAGGCCAGCATTGCAAGCTCAAGCGTAAGCTGCAGGTGGGATTCTGTTCCACAAAGATGCAATATTTCCTTTCAACGACAGGACAGTTAGAGCCAGGTACATGCTCACACACACACACTCATACAAGTTGCAAGGGACTGGAAGGAAGAAAGAATAAAAACCGAAACATGCTTTGCTAACATATCCCACCATCAGCAACCTTTGCAAAATTGTTCCTTTTCTCATATATAGCTAAAGCAGAATCTGGAATGCTGTTTTGGTTCAGCACCAAGAGATATTTCACCTCTGTCAATAAAGCCACTACCTAGAAGAAAGAAAGAAACAGTTTTATTTTATATTTACCCTTTCAGAAGCATCAACTCAATGACTTTTTGTTTACTTCGCATTTAATCTCAGATACAAAGGCATTAGAATACCTTTTTGATGACTGGAGTACAAGAAAGTATACAAGAGACATCTTTTAATTAGTATTCAGCAATTTAAGGGTAGGGATTTAAGGGCTTTTTGAAGTTTGGTAACTTAAAGAACCACTGCATTTTACAGGGTAAGAGCTAACTGTCATCATTATATTCCTCCATGTGTCTCTGGGGAGACATCTACTACTGTAATAACTTTCTTTACTGTTTAAAATAAGAACTTTCCCCTGCGCAGGTATAAGGCAACTAGATTTCCCAAACGGAAAACAAAGACAACAAAATAAGTAAGATTTAAGATTTTAAGAGTTACTCATACCCTAGAATATTGCTGTTATTTTATGAAGTCAAAGAGAAACATAAGATACAGATTTAGTTACAATTATACATACATACCTTAGGATCAAAATTCACACTCAGGAGGCCACCTTTGGGATTATGCTTAGTTAGAGGTCGGTCTAAATTAAACTGACAAATTTCATCCACCTGAACTTTCCATTCCCAGCAGGTCTGATCTTCATATTGGTCCAGGCATTTCAACATCTCCACATATTTCTGAGACATAAAAGCAGCTTCTGGACTTCCTAAAACTCTGCAAGGAAAAACTACACCTAATCTGTTTTCTTCTTTTAATTACAGCAGTTCAGAGATAAATTCTGGTAAAAAGCTTTAATCTCCCACACTATTCATTTTTAGATGAAGTTCTGTGTATACTGGCCATTTTTAAGTTATCCATAGCCTTACCAAATTGAACTAGAGGGGAAAAGATGCATAAAGCAAGAAGTGAGAACACTGGCAACAATTAAAACTGGGGGGAAAAAAAGGAGGATATGTCCCCCCTTGCATGTTACTAGCTGTGTCAGCGGTCAACAGGTGGAATTGGTATTACTCAATAATTGAATTCAGGTGTGTTTAATGCTCCTACAGGAGCTTTCCATCCTTTGTGCTGCCACCTAAAAGCATGTTTGCTGAAGGATCAAGAAAGGAGGGAGAGACGAGGCCCAATTTTCAGATAACTTGGATGTCTAGGTCCCCCATAAGTACCTTTGAAAGTCTTGTCACCATAGTACAATAATACCGTTTATGTGGGACATGTTAGTGCTGTCCTGAAGCAGAGAAATTCTTGGATTTGCTAGTTATTGACTCATCCAAACAATCATCAAGCAAATCTCTTACAGTTATTAAAAAAGCAATTCTGAGAGCACTACCGAGCGCATTTCAATGCAGAAACAGGAACTTTCCAGAATATACCAGAAAGTTTGAACTGTACACATGCACAACATGGATGTTAAATTTACTGGAGTAAGAGACCATATTATGCAGTTCACACTTGTTCAGCAATTAGCGATGCCTTATTTAAAGGCTATTAACTTCCCAATAAATCAGTGACTACGAACACTTACGGGTGAGGTAGAGACAGGAAGTAGGACTACAATGTCTATCCGTTCCTCCAGTTCCTTAGACCATTTAAGGTTTTTTCCTGAAGTAAGTGGCATATTTTTGATAATTATTTCATTCCCTTCTTTCTTTATTAGAACAGAAACGAAGCCATTATGAACTAACAGGAAAATGATCTTTTATTTTTGCATTGTAGCATACCTTTTGAATGTGTTCATCACTTATACGTCTGCAGTTATCCAGTTCATCAAACATTTCTAATAAAATATTGTAATTTGGACTAAATACCTCCATGATGACAGGATTTTTTATTTTTTTTTAGAAAGCTTCCAGAGATGGTTAAAAGCTTAAAAAGAAAATAAAGAAGGAAAACAAAGAAAACAAACAGTAAAGTAAGCATTAGAGTTCTCTTCCTGTCAACTTGAAATCTTATCCAAAATGCTTCTGAAGTACAAGTACTGGAACTGTACCAAGCTATGCTGTCGGTATGTGCCATGGGCCAATAAACAGACTACGTCTTTCCAAATATGCTCTTAAATTGTGCTAAACAGATGAATTCTAGAATGCTAAAGAATGACAGGTTAGCTTAGATGCTAGAAAGCATGGAACCAGGATTTCCAGATCCGGGCATACACCCCACACTCTCTACTTTCTAAATCCTACCCTGCACTTTTCTAACCTGCGTGTTTTCTCCCCTTTTTCCAGATATATCCTCTCTCATACATCAACAGCCTCTTCCTCCAGTGTCTCACACAAATTCAGTCTTAATTACGTGTTAACGTTTTCTGGGGAAAAGAAGCCTACTGCTGCAAAAAATTACCAAAGAAGAGGCAAGCAGGGGTGACTTCTTGAAGGATAAGTAATCTTCCATTCTCCTTGCTATGTTCAAGACAAGTTTTCCGCCTTTTGAAAGAGTAGATTTAATACTATAGCTATTACCTGAATTCAGTGAGAAGAGTTTGGAAAGAAACAGGGTAAACACAAGCATTAAATGCAAGATACTCATTTAACTCCTAACAATACCAAAAGTGACAACCTAAGGAAAATTTATTTACTCAAAATTATTACTGCCTTATACTTACCACAACTAATTTGCAACACTTTGACACAGTTTGAGTGTGATGTATACAATGTCACAGAAATGTATGTCTACAAGGGACTTCAGGAATAATCACCCTGTACTCCTGCCCCAAGACGAGGTCTGCTATACCTAAGCCATTTCCAAGAGACTTTTTTCTAGCCCTCCCTGAAAGATTTTTCAAGAATGAAGAGCCTGTCACCTCCCCTAGCAATCTATTCTAGCAATTCATTACGCTTGGTATAAAGTGGTTTTCCCAGTCACCAGACTTGAACCTTCTGTGCTATAAATTAAGTTCATTATGTTCTGGATGTAGAGAACAGGCTATTTCCTTCCTGCATGCAGAAGTCTTTAATGTATTTGAAGATTTTATGTCTATTCCCTGTCTTTTTCTTTTTCAGCCTCAATAATTGTCAACAGCTGATCTTCCCTGAAGCGTAATCCTTACACTGGGGGACAGTACTCCACTGGAGGCCTTATCAAGGGTGATTAGAATGTGAGATTTCTCCTTGTGCCTTTCAGGACAATCACCTGTTTGAACATCTTACATACTCACCTCTTTCTTAATAACATGACATCACTTACTCGGGTTCTACAACTCCTAAATCATATTTTGAAGAACTGGTTCTAAACAGTTGTTCCCTATCTTATGTTTTAATTATTCCTGCTTCAGAACAATAAGTACTACTGCAGAAATACGCTCCAACCACCCAGGCTAACTATACGCTACACTGGATGGAGAGCCTGGACACATCTGCCATCCATGAGATTCTCCATGCCTTGTGCAGTCAATGGCAAATACAGCATGTTAGTGAGCGGGGAATCTCTCCGTTTCTTTAAATTACATTTTAGATCTGGACTTAGCTATGGGTTAACTTCTGGAAAGAACCTGTATTCAGAACATCATCACAATGATAATAGAATCAAAGAAGTCAGTTTGGTTCTGCGGCTGAAATACATGTTACTCAGTATTCCAAGGCATTCAGTTTACAAATAGCTTATCAAGATATAAAGTATAATTTAAGCAATGCACAAAACTGTTTTTCTAATAATAAATGAAGAACAGTTTCACTTGTACGGGTACCGACCTTGTACATGGATTCTAAACTCGAACAGTCACAAAATCCTACACAAAGAACTGAGGCAAGACGTCTGTCAAGATCCAGGGGTTTTGCTTTAAATTCTGTATAATCATTCTCAAACTCCTGTAATGTTAAAAAAAATAATAAATGTATAAAATGCGTGTCTTTCCAATAGGGAAGAAAAGCTAATGGGCGGCATGTGGCTGTGCTAAACACGTAGCTCACCTCTGTCACTGAACAAACTTCTGAGATTTTTGTACTACAGTTTTTTCAGTACTATTTTAACTGATGAGCAGTGATAAATGCTACCTAACAGTAATCCCTTTGGTTTGGTTTTTTTGGTTTTTTTTTTGTTGTTTTTTTTTTTTTTTACAGAAACTGAGTTAACAACTGAAGCACTTGCTCAGCAAATGCTGTTATTTAAAAATAATTTGTAAAGATCTATACACGTGTGTACCAGTGCAAGATCAATGCACGCGTGTACTAGTGACACTTTTCTTTAGGAAGCTTGGTAAAAGGGAGAGCCACCAACACCACACAATATTACTCCTTGCTTTTATGCTGTTTCATCCTGTTAACTCTCTCGTTAAACAAAGAGCTTCTCAACAAGTTTTTACAAGCCTAATT